TGTGTTCAGGGACACAAGGAAGGCTTAGCATGACGCGATATCACTGATAATGATTTCTGGCTCGAGTAACGTGCGGCTCAAGTCATCACTGTGCCCAGACAGATGGTGTTTGTTTCATGCAAGAAAATGGTTGAATCTGATGCCTCCTATTGGAAGAGTAAGGAACGGACATTCACGTCGTTCATCTGTAAATGTGCCCTTTACATGGTGCATGAAGCTGTGCTGGATTTGACAGCCTGGCGCTAAGATCACTGGGCACACGTGGTATTTGGACCACAGGAAGGAACCTGGAGTACCTGCAGGAATTCTCTCACCTGTTACTGTGGGGAACAGAGAAGCTTCACCTGGGCGGAGCCATAACTGAGGCAAACCTGCAGCCCTGCCGCTGTGATGCCCAGCTGGCCCATAGCTCCGCCCCTAACCATTTAATATCCAGGAGTCTCTGTGCTGATAGTTTGTGTTGTTTACAGAATGTGTGAATTAAAAGTACCAAAGCAGTTTTTCATTCCGGAGAAAAATATGTGTGTACATACAAGAATACCTTTCTGGTTGTTTTTTGGCATGCCCGTATATCCATGAAGAGTTTTAAAATTTTATATTAGCAACAAAACCTGCAGTTTAAACCGTGGAGCTGCCCTCCAGTCTGGTGACTGGACTGACATAGGCCTGTACCTCATTTGAATGCCTTGGTCTTACAATCAAAACAGACCATGTCTATTAGAGATGCAACAATTGTACCAATCCAACTATTAGTATTGGCCGAAACAGCAACATTCGGCTGTCAGCCAATGGTTAAAAACGAGCCGAGATTTACCGCCGATAATTCCCTTTAAAATGGTGACCCATGTTGCTCTGCAAACCCGGGTACTAAACAGTTAGAAAAATGTCTGCTGTGTGGTATTTTAACATTAGAAATGCTTTTTGCAAACGTTGATAAAATTTCACGAGGACGATCTACTAATAAACATTGCAGTGTAACAAATTTTATCGCTCACCATAAGCTGAGACAGTGATGAGGATGAAGTTTCTGAAAAACAAATCCGTTCCAGTAAATAAGGCTGCAGTACTGCTGAATAACGCCAGTCTGTCAGTAACGTGTTTGATAGCAAAAGAAAATTCAGTGCAGACAGCGCAAAATCAAAATATATTACTCAGAAAATTATGGCGTTTATCAAACTTCTCTGTTATAAATGCTATAAAATATTTAAGATGTGTAGAGTTATATTAAATTAATTCCTCTTGGAATGTTGCATGCTTTTTCATATTTTTTGGAATGTATTCATTTATTTTTTTATTTATTTGGCTGAGTGTCCCTTTAAATTTTTTAAGCAGAAACTCCCAAACAATCGGTGTCTGTATCAGTTTTTGAAATAATCGGCTATCTGTATCTAATTTCCTTATCAGTGCATTGCTGGCGTCCATGCAGCTAAGTTTACACCCACCACTGTACTATGTGCACTGACTGCGCACTGAGCTGGGAATGTTTTATTTAAATAAGCTATGATATATCGTACATCCATCATACATAACCAGTCATGAGACACAGAGTGTATGCACACACACACACACATACACACACGTTTGTGGGGGCCATCCATTCATCTCTATGGGAAAAACCCTTTTCCGAACAATGACAACCTCAACAACAATGACAGCCCTAACTTTAACCATAAGTAACCAAACAAAATACAAGGCTTTTGGTATTTTTAGTTTTTTTGATTGCTATCACAGATTTTTATAAAATTTAATTTCCTCTTGTGGGGACTGAAACAATGGTTCCCATAATGTCAAATTAACAGGTTTTTGTCACACTCTGGAGACATGGTCCCTACAGTGTAATGCATCACAGACACACATGCCCACACACACACTATATGGACAAAAGTATTGGGACACCTGGCCATTACACCTGCAGGAACTTTTATGACATCCCATTCTAAATAGGCATCGATAAACTCTTCTGGGAAGGCTTTCCACAAGTTTATGGAGTGTGTCTATGGGAATTTTTGCCCATTCATCCAGAACAGCATTTGTGAGGTCAGGCACTGATGTTGAACATGAAGGCCTGGCTCACAATCTCCGTTCTAGTTCCTCCCACAGGTGTTCGATGGGGTTGAGGTCAGGGCTCTGTGTGGGCCAATCAAGTTCTTCCACACCAAACTCACCCAACAATGTCTTTATGGACCTTGAATTGTGCACTGGGGCACAGTCATGCTAGAACAGGAAAGGTCCTTCCCCAAACTGTTCCTTCAAAGCTGGAAGCATAGAATTGTCTAGAATGTCTTGGTATGCTAAAGGATCAAGAGTTGTCTTCACTGGAACTAAGGGGTCTAGCCCAACCCCTGAAAAACAACCCCAAACCACTATCCCTCCCCAGCAAACTTTACAGTTGGTACAATGCAGTCAGACAGGTAACGTTCTCCTGGCATTCGCCAAACCCAAACTCATCCATTAGACTGCCAACAGGATTCGTCACTACACAGAACATGTTGCCACTGCTCCAGTTTCCAGTGGCAGCGTGCTTTACACCACTGCATCTTACACTTGGCGTTGCGATGGTGATGTGAGGCTTGCCTGCAGCTGCTCGCCCATGGAAGCCCATTCCATGAAGCTACCGGCACTCAGTTTTTATGCTGGGGTTCCTAAACATTTCCGCTTTGCAGTAATACCACTTACTGTTAACTGGGGAATATCTAGCAAGGAAGATATTTCATGAACAGACTTATTGCAAAGGTGACACACACACACACACACACACATATATATATGTGTGTGTGTGTGTCTGTAAAATATGAGTGCAGTACATAGTGAAGTTTAGCTCTTGTGACAGAGAAAACAATTCCAAGTTCTTCTTTGCAGAGTCTATCACCATGGCAACCGTGGGCTGGACAATAGTTGGGCCCAAATACCTATGTGACGAAAACCCATGAGGCAGCTTATTACCACAAGGGGGGGTCCCATCGGCAGGAGCTGATAATAAGCAATTTCACCAGCAGCCTCTCGTTGTTGGACATCACAAAGACAGCTAATTATAATGCACCAAACGCAGATGCAGTCTCTGCCATGATTTAGCTGAGAAATCCGTGTGGTTTCCACTCGCCGAGGCAATGCGTCTGCGACCGGATTGATAAGGGAGAAAATCAAAGGCGGGAAGTCGCACTAAATTTGGGTGTAATTTCATCCTGAAAACTTTCTCGCGTTGTCATTCTCGTCTGACAATTTTCATTCTGCTGCAATTAAGATTCACATAATTTCAGAGCTTGGTTAATCTTTTCATTCAATTACGCATTCAGTTCATTTGTTCACATATGAATGCTGAAGATAGTTTTGTTTCTTAATTAAACTTTGTGTTTCTGAAGGTTTAATTATTGCAAAGCAGAGTGGGGGTGGCGTTGGGCATCCTGATACCCATTATTTGGGTTTTTTATTTGTTTGTCCTCCCACCCTGTTCCAAGAACTCCCGTCCAGGCTGCTTTGCCTGCTCACTAACCCACTTGTGTTCCTTCCTTTGACCTGAATCTCACTTTCTTTCCCTTTCTGTCCCTTTTTGCTGAAGCAGAAATATCTGTCTCTTGTTTTTGCTTCTCTCTGCTATTTCTTTGAACCCACCTCCACTGCCATCTGTAACAGTATCCGCATCCCTATTAGGTCCCTTTTTCTGTTCTGCCTGGAGAAAAGCTTAATAAATGTACATTATTTTTTATGTAGAAACATACATTAAGAAAACAGGGTCAGACAGTCCCTGGAACAATTGGGGCTAAGGCTGTTGGTTGGGGGCCTATTGGTGCAATCAGTCTGTCGATCCTGGAAGTTGAATCAGCAATCTTCTAGTCACAGGCTCAGCATCCTAATCCGCTGAGCTGTTAACTATACGCACCTACTTTTCATGTATGTTTGGCTCTTGTGATGGATCCATCCATGCATCCATCAGTCTGTCTTCTAATCACATATCCAGCATAGGGTCACTGTCAGCCCGGAGTCTGTCCCTGGAAGCACAGGCCAAGAGGCAGGGCGACACCTTGTATGCATGCAGTGAAATACTGCTGAAATGAAAAATGAGAGCCATCACTGCTCGCACTGCAGCACACTATTTCGCAACCCAGTCCTCAGACACCCCCAGACAGCAGAGAGAAAAACAGTAAAACCGTCATGTCGTCCCGCCTATCAGCAGAAGTAAGAGGCTAGGTTGGTGTCATTCCCTGCCTAACTGAGGTTACCCACAACATGGCACCAGACATCTCTAGTTAAAATCATTTCCTAAATCCCTAATGGAAAGGTCTAAGCTAGGGATGCTGCCGCTGTTGAGTTCCTGACTAGAGGGACCCACTTTGGCAAAACCTTCTAGGTCAAGGTCAAGGCCAGGCTTTGGTCTGCAGTGTTTCTCTACCCCAGGGGTGCCCAACTCCAGTCCTGGGGGGCCAGAGCCCTGCACATTTTTGGGTTTCCCCTCATTTAACACACCTGATTCAACTCCTTGTGCTAATTACCATGCAGCTCTTGAGCTGAATCATTTATGGTGGAACAGGGAAAGCTACACAGGGCTCCGGCCCTCCAGGACTGCAGTTGGGCACCCCTGCTCTGCCCAGTCCTCAGACAGCCTCAGGTAACTCCACATTTCTGCTCCCTACCAGCTTCCAAGCAATCAAGAACACCGAATCCTGGTACAGGTGTGTTGGTACATAGGAGGGAGCAAACATGGACACTGTCTGGGGGTCCCCAAGGATGGGGTTCACTGCTTTAGCAAATTCAGACTTGGGACGGCCTAGTCCTTTCAAGCACTATTCCAGAGATGGTCACTACACACAGCATCCTAACTGGAAGTGGAGAAGAGAATGTTTATTGAGCTTTAAGAAAAGTTTACTTACTCCACTCTGAAGTCTTGGGGGGCTGAAAATCCATGGTAATTGCTGCGTTTTACTGAAGTACTTACTGAATTCTTAAGGAGCTGTTTTGTAAATAAATAGTAAGTGAGCTGGATATATTTGTTTCTGTCTTGGCAGGGACGTGAAGGCTGGGAACATTCTGCTCGGGGAAGACGGATCGGTGCAAATTGCAGGTATTACCTTGGGATAAATTTCCTGTTTGGCCTTTTTGAGTGAAGTGCGCTGTGGCTTTTGACTCGTCAAGTGAAAATGTTTGCAATGTCACTGTGTCATTGCCACAGTCTGGATTGAATTGTACTCCCCCATTGCGTCTTTGCTTTTAATGAGTCTTATTTTACAGTCATTTACCTGCATGTAACTAAATTGCTAATGTGAGGCACAAATCAGGCAGAATGTCTGCACTTAATAGCTGAAACTATTTCTTTTAGCAGTTAAAGGGTCTATTATGGCATCTCAGACGTTTTCTCCAGGGCTGATAGAAATACTGGTATAATATAGAAAAGATGATTAAACCATCTGTCATGAATAAATTTGGTAAAACCCAAAGGTATAATTTATTAGCGTTTTTTCCTGAGAAATGACGAACAAATTCCTGATTTGTTAGACGTTTCTTTTTTTGTTGTCCTGTCCTCCAGTGCAGTTTTCTATGTCTGTAGGATATGTCCTTTGTCAGAATCGGCAAATACATTAGGGATGTATCCCTATAAATTCAGAGCCCAGCAGAGCTTTGTGAATAGGTTGCATATCAGTCTGCTCTTCATTCCTTCTCATTTATGAGCTTTTGACGTGGTATTTGGGGTGATTTATTTGTCATGTTAGCTCACCATGGACAGACTCACCATCTCCATTTCTATTTTGTACTCTATATGTTGGAGGTAAATAAAATATGGATTTTTTTCATTTAAATATGTTGCTTTTTTAATTTATCTTAGATTAGGTGACTTTTAAAAAAAATTATCTTGCCATCTAGTCACTGAAAAATGCTTGGCCATGTGACATTCACTGGGAAGGGGAGCACCCCCAAATCATGTAACTGCTTCCTTTGTACAGTTTCACCAGGTTATTTCTATGTTGTGTCTCTCCCAGCCGAACCGACGCTGACTAATGATGTAATGGAAGTATTACAGGCTGATTTGGGGTAAATTAAGGACAGCTTTCCCTGCACAGCAGAGGTTTGTGTGGTGATGTTTTGAAAGTTATTATTATGGGGTGTTGGGGGACAGTAACCGAGCGATGGGGAGAGGAGATGAAAAATCCGGCAGCACATAGAGAATAGAAAAGAAAATAAGCTTCATGTCCATGTCCACCCCCCATAGAATGGAATAGAATAGAGTATTAACATCGAGCGATAACTAATCAACAAGACAGAGTATACACAAGTAAGCAAAGTGAGATGTTTGGATAAGATGCAATGGGACAAACTGCCCAGCCAGTCCTGTGCCAAAATACAAATGTTAGTGAATAACACATATGATGGTCATAATAATACGGCTAAAATATAATCTGGTACTATCATTTATGTCAAGTTACATATTTATGTAACGGATGCCAGGGTGGGTCTGTGATTAAATATTGGCTCTGGACTTTGAGGTCCAACATGATGAATTCTGCCGGGGGTGGGCGCAGGGATGTTTAAATATGGGGAGCTTGGCAGTGTTGCCTTCTGCGTGGTTTCCTGTAGGAGCTCTGACTTCGTTCATTCATTCGTTCATCCATTTGTGCGTTCTAGCACCCTGAAATGTTTCTTTGTTTTCTGGTTCACTGTGCCTTGCCATTTCCCTGCTGGTTCAGGGATTCTGACCTTTAAGTGGAGAGGGAGTGAGAGAGAGAGGGGGAACGGGAGCAGAGAGTGGGATTTATGTTGCGGTCTGACGCAGGAGATGCACGGTGGTTTGCCATTGACGTTAACAGCCCTCGGATGACTTGGCCTGATTACAAAATGAAGTTTCGAGGCCGTTTTGATAGATGAGTTGTGTCTTCCAGATAAATGTTTGGCACTGTGGTCCACACAGTGACATTTATTTGTGACGTTTATATTGCAGACCTACATTATCGATGTCAGGTCATGTAAAATCAACAACCGAAGCCTTTACTCAAAGTTAAAGTTGAGAAAATGTCTCGTAAGTAACTTATTCCTATAAATACATGGAATGTGTGAGTGGATTGAATATCTTAGTTGAGCGGGATGATTTAAAGCTGTCAGTCCTTTTCTACTCATGCTCTGCTGCTTGTAGTATAGTATTTGGACACTTCTGGGTTAGATCCTTCACTGCCAAGATCCCTTCCAGCATCACATGACTTAATACTTTATTTCAGCATTTATTTAAAGTGAACTTTGCCTGGAATGTGTTGTTATGTTTTTAAATGCAGCGTATATTGTAAGAGTAACGTGGTTGACCTCAATGTCCAGGCGAGCCTGATTTGTGGGCCAGGTGTACTGGTAGATCCAGGAATATTTGCTGTTCTGGCCTCGGTCATATCTGGAGAAAATGCAATCCATTAATGCACGACATGAAGTTTCAGGAAGCTATTTTCTTGGACCATTTCCCTCCTCTTTTTAAATGCTAAGGTGGTAGTATATTGAATTCGGTTTTTGTTTATTCAGTAAAGTGTTACTTCTGCTGCACATCCTTCAGGTTATATGTGCTCTTCTCCTGTGTGTGGAATCCAGGGGTGTTGTGCTGGAGGTCCACAACCATATATGGCATGCGATGCAGACCCCTGCAGATTAGACCAATGGTGTGCCAGCCCTTTTCTCTGAATACCCAGAATGCAACAGGCTTTAAACAGTATTCCCTACAGCTCAGCATCGAACGAATGAGACCACAATAACAAGCCCCTCCCTGTCCCTCCTTCACCCCACCCCCTCCCCCTTTGGCAGACTTTGGGGTGAGCGCCTTTCTGGCGACGGGCGGTGATATCACCCGGAACAAAGTGCGAAAGACCTTTGTGGGCACACCCTGCTGGATGGCCCCAGAGGTCATGGAACAGGTCAGATTCTCCATGTTCTCCCAGTGGTCTGCAGGAACAGGTCAATACTCACATTAGCATACATACACACGGGCATAGTGATGTGTACATGTATGTATATGGGTGAATATCATATCAAGGTGAATGTGCCGTTTATCGTCAGCTCCAGATATACGGTGCATGTCATACACTGAGCTGAAATACTGTTCTCATTGGCCATAGCGCTAATGGTATTTTAAGGTATGGACGTTAAGACAGACAAAAGAAATTTGGCGTGGAACTGGATGATAAGAATGTGCAATTCTTATCAAAACAAACAGATATTACTTTCTGAGTTATGGGTGCAGTGCTGTTAGTCCTTTTAACTGACCCAGTCTTATGCTGGGAGGGACGAGACCGTTCAGCAGTCAGATAATGTTTGTAAGCCACCCTGTTCTGGCTTTGAGGCTGCACACGCATGCATGTGAATGTTTCTGTGTACATATGTGAAATCTTGTATAATTCTATAATAAAATCAGTCCATTATGTACTTTTGATACTACAGCATTTATTTCCATGTCTGCAACAAAATATTCAGTTTGTAAAGATTTATGAATTTACATTTGAGAACATTCAAAACGATGTAGCTTGAAGAATGAACTTCTGTGTTCCTGCATTCTGAAATCTGATTTCTTGTGCTGCTGTGGCAGACTTACCCGGGAGGTGGGGTTGTGTGATTTTTTTTCATGATAACCAGGCCAGGGTAAACAGAGCTGGCCTGTGGCCTGGGAGTAAACAAAACGTTTTGCAAATACAGCAGTTTGCAGACCCGCTCACTATAGAATGCCAAACGAATGGTGCCTGAACTGTCAGCGATGACGGCCTGGGTCTGATTTCCATGCAGGTCAAGGGATACGACTTCAAAGCAGACATATGGAGCTTCGGGATCACGGCCATCGAGCTGGCAACGGGGGCCGCGCCCTACCACAAGTACCCACCCATGAAGGTCAGGCTGTGGAGGGTGTCTCTGTCCGGGGGGGGGGGGGCTTTAGTCTTTGTGCTGGTGGTGAATTTTCAAAGCATAGTATGTCAGTGGAGGGTGATGAATATTCATGAAGGAAGCACTACCTGATTGGCCAGTGAGTAGGATAGCAGGCGGAGGAAAATTAATTTTCAGAAGGGAAACACTACCTGATTGGATGATGAGTAGGATGGCAAGGGGAGGCTCATGAATATTCATGAAGGAAGTGCTACCTGATTGGTCACTGTTGCACCACTTCCTTTATGAATATCGGAAATTTCCCCCTGCCGTCCCATGTTTCACATATTCTTGAGCTGTCACACACGGCGCACAAAATATTTTAACGAACAGCTGCCTGCCGATTTTGTCAAATAGAGGTGCTCTGTGGAGGGTCGCAGCACATGACAGGGATGTAGGAGAAGGTGTTTTTCCAGGCTGAGCGGAGTGTGGGGAACCCGTCCCAGCCTGACAGGTTAAGGAGCAGCAACAGTCGTAGGAAAGTTTTGTGAACCCCTTGGAATTATCTGTATTTCTGCATGACTGACTCCTAAAACGTGGCTTGATCTTTTTAGTCATAATGAATAAAAGCAATCTTACTTAACCGAGAACACAGGCATTTCACATGGCCGTATCTTTATTGAACAGATGGTTTGAGCAGTCAGGGTCACTGAGCACGTGTTTCTAGTAGCTACTGTAACCCATTCAGTTTATGCCTCGGTGTTGCAGTTTAAGTCTATCTCTGGGATGTCTTGCCTGTGTTGCTTTGCTGGGCTCACAAACCTCTTTTGACAATGGTTACAGGAAGCGATTACAGCTCTTCTTTTATTCTCAGTGTGTCTCTGGCTCCCCATAAGGAGAGCCTGCATCACATAAGCTAGTACTCCGATTTTACATAAAATTTACTCTCCTGTTTCAGATCCTGTTTCAAGCTAGACATATTCCATTCACTATTGATCAAAACAGATGAGAAAATCAGGACTGTTCTGTCCTCTACAACTAATGTCATGGATTCCAGATTGGAATTAGGCCAAATTTCTATATCACTGTCATTTTCTCTTTATCTCCTACTGTATATATTAACAAAATTTAAAACATACAATGGACCATATCAAAAGTTTGACATCACGGAGGTAGTGGTGGATGTTGCCGATGGTGGGCAGCCATGTTTTCCCTGTTCTGGAAAGGTCATAACCCTCTAATTCACCTCCACCCTCAATAATTATGATGATATTATGATTGTGGCATCGCTTGCAGTGGCAGCACAGCAGCTTAGGATGTGAATTTCACAGAGACTGCACCTTCATACTGATCTGACTGCACCTCAATAAGCTGCTTATATTTGGTGCCTCGCAATAGTATATAATCCCTCTTTAAATGAGCAGATTTGCCTGAATTACTTGGAAACAGCATTTTTTAAAGTTTTTGATTCTTATTGTCTTCTTATTTGCTGACAAGTAATTGATTTTGATTTTGAATATTTACCATGAGAGACAATGGGTTTGCAGTAAAAATACTGGCAGGAAAAATGTGTTATCGCATATATCTCAGGCAAATTTGATCATTTTAAGGGGGGGGGGGGTGCAATATTTGCAATATTGGGAGGGGGGGGCTTGCTGGAGACAGGCCGGAGACCGGAGGCCTTTCCTGGTGGGTTTGACAGCTAAGTGAAGGCAACCGCGGCTTCCCCCCCCCCGCCAGCTTTCATCTTGGCACCTCTCTCCCTTGCTGTTCCCAGGTCCTCATGCTAACCCTGCAGAATGACCCCCCCTACTTGGAGACGGGTGTCTCAGACAAGGAGATGGTGAAGAAGTACGGCAAGTCCTTCAGGAAGATGATCTCGCTGTGCCTGCAGAAGGACCCAGAGAAAAGGTGACCTCCAGTTAGTCAGCATGATGGATGCTCAGTAACACACACACACATTCTCCTTGTACCTTTACCAGGTTGTTAAAAAGCAGTGTTTCCAGGATACTGACTAACACACAGCTTAACAGCATTAACATATATGGATATTCCTAGCTTGGGGAGGTAGGGGGCTCATCCCTGTGAGAGATGCTTATTGCTTATCCCTGTGAGCGATGCTTATCGCTAGGGCCGGGGCTTATCCCTATGAGAGATGCTTATCGCTAGGGGCGGGGCTTATCTCTGTGAGTGATGCTTATCGCTAGGGGTGGGGCTTATCCCTGTGAGCAATGCTTATTGCTAGGGGCGGGTCTTATCCCTGTGAGTGATGCTTATCGCTAGGGGTGGGGCTTATCCCTGTGAGTGATGCTTATCGCTAGGGGTGGTGCTCATCCCTGTGAGTGATGCTTATCGATTGGGGCGGGGCTTATCCCTGTGAGTGATGCTTATCGCTAGGGGTGGAGCTTATCTCAGCTAGTGGGGGCGATATTTTGTTGCTGGACTGTGATAGCTGGAGCAGTATCCATTTTAATGGAAAAAATTTTAGTTCTGATACAGATGGCCAGGAATAATCCCGACGTGACAAATGGGAGATCATAAGTGTCAGACCACCAGTAAAGTAGAAAAGCTTTCTGAAGCTTACATATTTTAACACAGTGTTTCCCAGTCTGGTCCTTGGGGACCCACAGACCTTTGAGAGCTGGGAGGCAGCAAAAATGTGGACTGTTTGGCAGGGAGCTCTGAAGGCGCACAAATGTGGACTGGCTGTGAGTCCAGGAACACTGCTTTAACAGATTTGGCTTTGTGCTTTTTCAGACCAACGTCATTGGAGCTTCTGAAGCACAAATTCTTCCAAAAAGCAAAGGTGAGCGCTTTCTGCCAAGGGCCTTGTTTCCTCTGGCCCTGTCTGACCTGGCCAGGAGAACAGGAGTGTCCCCCACAGTTTAACGGATCAGAAGCCCCAGTATCAGCCTGCCCATAGACTAGATGCCATCAGGTCATAGGATTACATCCACCAGGCTGCACCGGTGTCATACAGGAACGTTTCAGAATATGGTTCGGTTAACGATGCACCAAATTATTTATAATCCTTTATGATTTTAAATGATCAATAAATAGAAAAACCTTTTCAGTCTTCCTTTGTGCTCATAATTCTTGCAGAAGCTGTGGTGCATGCAAGTAAAATATGAGTAATTGTGACTCTATTATTCTTTAAATATTTTGCATGAAACGCAGGACCTTAAATATAGAAATCTGCAAATCACTACCAGTCCTGGGGGGCACTATAGTGCAAGAGTAGGATACACCCTGAATGGGATGCCAGTCAACCCTCAGGGCACATACTTTATGATTTGGAGTAAATCTGTGACATTTAATCTGTCTCTTTTTTGCCAGAACAACGAATATTTACAAGAAAAACTCCTACAGAGGGCTCCAACAATTAGAGAACGATCCAGGAAGGTATGAGACTTGGCCAGCCAGGGACATCTCAGTCCACACAATGTGTCTTAACACAAAAATCACAGGGCAGTACCAGGCTGAGCCTGATTTTTTTAAGAACACCCCCAAAAATGCCAGGAAAAAGAAGGTTAGTTTGCTTTTAGCCATCTGCTTTCTGCAGGCCCCCCATCTTGGGTTCAGGCCGGGACGCCTGCCCTGCCTTGTGTGTGTCTGCTTTTGTGTTTTTTAAAAATTTACCCACTGTCGCCAGGGCAGAATATGAGGAGTCATTATCCGTGTTTTTATTGGTCCACCAGTTTATCTTCTGGCGACCAGCAGTGGTTTGACTTTAATTAACATTGTGCTTAATTGCCATATGTAAATGGGAAAGTGTTATCTTCAATCAAGCAGATATAGTGCATGGACAGTTTTACTTTTTTTTTTTTGTTTTCTTTAGCCAGTTAAAGTTTTACTGCTGTCACTAGGCAACAGACCACAATCTAGTTATAATAATTCAGGATTATTAGTTTTAGCTTTATTATTGTAATAATAATTATATTGGTAAAATGTGTTGTTGTGCCCTTAAGACTTGGTGCTGTTTTCACACACATGCTCCGTGCTTTAAAGAGCAGAAATGCATTAATAACATAAAAGCGGAATTGGGAGGGTGTTAACATGACTCTGCAGTGACGTGTGGCTGCAGGACAGGGTCGCTGCAATGCGAATGAGCCAGGCTGTTTTCCCTCATTTTAAGACCATCTAACATTTGTGTTTTGTTTTTTTATGTCATGTATCGGCGGTACAGGGCAGGGAAATAGGCGTGGGAGTCCACAGGTAGGGGTAAAACACAGAATTTATTAGCGGGGTAAACATGATCAGGAACTAGCGAAGTAACGACGTTAATGACCAGACTGGGGAAAGACTCACAAGAAAGCACTTAAATACACTGAATCAAGTAGATAAGACTAGATACAGCTGGTAACCAGGAGGATTCCTCATGAGGTAAACGAGGGGGCGTGGCACACAGGAGGAACGGCACGATCGGGATGTGACATTTTATGCTTTTGAGCTTCTTTTTGCCTGGTACAATTACTTTAATGAGAGATACAGTAGCATATGCAAAGTTTTACAGATCTGGATATGGAACGGAGAAATAGCTCAGATCTATAAACCTCAATTGATTTCTGTCAGAATAAATAAACTGTACCAATGATATGCGGTTAACAGCTGATTTGCTAATGGAAGGTCCTGTCGCATATCAAGTAGAGCATAATACTTGCAACCCAATCCCAGGGAGTGCAAATTGTAAAACTGTAACCCTTTCCTCCACTGTAAGTTGCTTTGGATAAAAGCATCAGGTAAATGAGTAAATCTGTCTGCAGGAGTGTCACAAGAGATTTACGACATGAGGGGCTAGGCCTTTACGGGGGGGGGGGGGTTCTGATTTTAATGAAAATGTATGAGATCACACTATTTCAACTAAATAGTTTTCATTTACCTGGTGGGGGATGCTGAAGAACATTTTAAGCTAAAGTCACTAACAGAAAAGTGAGCCGTCTTTGGGGGGATGAAAGGAGGACGTGCCCTTACTCACATTGGCGGCTCTAGGCTTTTCTCCCAGGGGGTGCAAGGTGAGAAAGCTCGACCAGTCATTCATCCAGATAAATAAATTAATGAAATTAAATGGTAAATACATTTACGATTAATTATTTCATATTGATATTACTAACACAAGCCAAGTTTTCAAATAAAACGTTTATAATGATATTTGAATGAGCTTAATATGTTCGGATAGTATTTTCATCTAAGCAGAAGGGGACGTGTGTGTGCTTTTAATCAAAAGGTGCGCAGAGTGCCTGGGTCCAGTGGGCGGCTCCACAAGACCGAGGACGGCGAGTGGGAGTGGAGCGACGATGAGCTGGATGAGGAGAGTGAGGAGGGCAAGGCTGCTGTAGCCGCTCTGCGGGTGAGTCCTCCCCCCCCTGAGTGCCCTCAGCTCAGCAGCTCTGCCATCAACTGCCAAGACCCCCCCCCCACTCCAGACAATTATAATGCCCAGTGACCCCCAACCCCATCACCCCTGAAAAACTTGTTCTAAAGTTTGGTCCTTTAAGCACACCACCAGTACCTCACATGGCCTTTAGGGGGCGATAGAGAGCAGGTAGGTTTGACTTGGCGTGATTCAGCCAAGTGTCAAGCCGCTAATGATTCGCAATGCCCTCTGTCACTGCCGGTGACACAAGGGAAACATTTGCGCTCTTATGCTAATTTTCGGAGATGTTCTAGTGGGGTATGTGCAGATGTAATGGCTGTTTTCACCCTCCCCCCCCTCCCACCTTTCTGTTTTGTCCGCTGGTGAAGGACCCCCAGGCCAAGGCAGTAAGCGTGCCCAGGCGACAAGTGCGCTTCTCCCAGCCCCTCGAGCTGCCCACTCCCAGGGTTGTTCTCTCCACATGGATACAGATGGCATTCCCTTTACATGGAAGAGCTCCCCCCTCAGGCAGGGCAGGGGAGGAGGGGATGCAGTGGTCAGCTAGAGAGCAAGGATTGGTCACGAGGAAGGGAGGAGCCAAGGAAGCAGGGGGGGGGTCATAGACGCCAAAGGGAGCTCAGTGATTGGTCAGGGGAAGGGGCGTGGCCAGGTAGGAAAGGTCAAAGAGAGCTAATGGATTGGTTGCAGGGAGTGGCCTGGAAGGAGGGAGGTGTGAGAGGTCTGGTGAAGAGTTGAGCTGCAGTTCATCTCCTCTCAGCGGGGCATGTACTCCTGTGTGTACTGGCAATACTGTTAGTCGGCTTGCTTTTTGTAAATTTAGCCTAAAAGTATTTTTCTTTCATACTCTTCCATACTTTTCTTTTTTTGTCAGACCTGATGCGTCCGCTATTGATTTATTCCCTCTTCATTTCCCAGGTAAAAAACAAAAAGTTCATAAAACAGCTTTACAGAGATTGTGCGGGAAATGGAACTCTGTCACAAGTTTATCAGTGTGCTGTCCCGACATGGGGACCGAACACAATAACAGATGTGCCACTGTATGGTTATCTGTCATCTTAAATTTGTATCTCATAGAAAATTAAAGTCCTCTCTCCTACACTAAGGAGAACCCTTTAGGTGGACAGATCAACTTTGTGAATCCTAAGGGGAAATATAAAGGAACATTGGCTGGTAATCAAACTCGGGCCTCTTGCAGGCCAGGCAAGAATTCTGCCTCTGAACCCCCAAGAAACCTGTGGCAAAATCATTCAGGTTGACTCTTTAAATTGGAATTATTTTCTTTGGCTAATTGTTATGGTATTTTCTGAATGATTGAGTCAGCTTCCCCAGTGCATCCTGGGAAATGTCAGGAAAATGTGGAAATTTAGCACCAGACTGGCATGTGACTGCATACTGTAAGACTTATGTTGCTAATTCCCCAAGTTGTTAACCCATGATCTAATGGGAAAGGGGGTTTTAATCACCAGTTGGGGAATAGCTCTGTGGCCATTATTTACATCTCCTGTTATCTGTAAGCTTATTTATTTCTTCATCTTACTTTCTGTCCTGCCTCCATAATATATTTGAACCGTAGAAATGGCTCCTTTAAATCAGGTAGCTGAGAACATGAGCTGCATAAATTTCTGTGTTAAATTTGTTGGCCAATTAGCAGAACTGCAGAGTTTGAACGTGAAGCAGACTGAAATCTCTCACGGATTGCATAGCCACAGTAATTATGACACGCGCCTTTTTAGACTGGTGGCAGGGTACACGTGATAAAATGGAGGGGTGGCATATTTGACATGGGGTCCTGAAGTGTTGTATGACACACCGAGGCCATTTCACGTGGGGGGGGGGGGGGGGGGGGGGGGTCCGTCCAAAATTCTTCATAACAAACCCACAAATCCCAAGAACCAGAGAATAATCATGACGTAAATATTGGCTGGCAGAACATGGAGGATATGTTTAATGGAAACTGTGAAAAATGAACTCTTTGCTTTTTTGCAATACAGCCGGAACTCAGGTGGGATAGAAGCAATTTCCAAGAGACGATTATCTTTGGAACAATTTTCAGGATAGGAAATTTAAAAAGCCACTTTATTTTATGTTACTTCCCCTCTCCCACTGAAGAAAATAAAGATGAGGGAAAATTGAGGGGGGGGGGGCATCTGGTTAGAAGCCCCCCAACATGCCCAGGTCAGTGGAGTATCTAAAAATAATTTTCATGGGTTGACAAAGGGGTGACGAGATGTGAGTGGCACAGAGGACGGTATGTAATTCTAATTGTAATTCTATATGTAAATGTACTCAACAAAAGATCCACAGATACATTTTTACAATAATTATTTTGACATTCTGTCAATGAACACTGCCCAAGTTTATGTTAATCGACAACAGGAACAACAGTGTTCATGCAAAACACTGTGTAGCTCTTGCTGGCTCTGCGCTACCCATCTGCTCATGTCTGACCATATTTTTTTTAGGACAGCTTAAGGTGATGGTTGTTGTACTGTGCAGCAAAACAAATATATCCAAATTAAGTGCTTTGCATGCTTGTTCTCAATGCTGAGAACAGCTAGATTCCTCAGACGGTCATCTGCCATGGTTGAGCGGCGGTGATTTTTTTATTATTATTATTTTTATTTTTTTTACAAGTTCTCCAAGTTGAAAAGCTGCGCTCACACCCTACAATCCCCACTGGCAACCCACTGCTTAAATGTTATGGATTCCAACATACCAGTGTTTTGCAGCTCTTTTGTCTTAAATGAAAACTAGCTCATTACATTTAAAATGCTCCTGGAAATCGCACACAATGAACTCGGTTTTTAGCGTATTTAGCCTACTTGTGGCTAACATCACGCTAACGGACTCTCATTGTTGCCATTGGCATATAAGACATTGCCAGTTTAGCATAAATTACATTCGTTACTAATTTTACTTCACCTTAACATGCAGCGCAGCTCAGTCGTTCCTCTCTGCACCAGCATGCAGACTCGCGCTGTGAGCGCACGCCAAGGTACACCTTTCAGCACAGTGCTGTGCAGTTTTTTGTGGTACCTAAGATTGCATTTACAATTACAATTTTCTCAGTGTGTTGTTTGTTTCAGTGTTTGGAGCAGCTTATGGACGTAGTGGTGATTGCTTTTTTACGATTACAGTTTTAGTAACCGAAAAGAGGGGGGGCAGCTAAGGGGGCAAGACCTACAGTAGTGGGGGGCAGCTGCACCCTCTTGACCCCCCGTAGATCTGTCCCTGCGTAAGGTAATAAAGGCAGAGCTCGTAACTCATTAAGGGTCCTTCGTAGCAATGTAGAGCCATGTAGAAGTAGCTTGTAGAGGAGTCAGTTCGTGGGGTATAAAGATACCTGCTCAGGGGTGTTGCTAGAGATTTTGGGCCCCATGAAAGCATATCATATTAGGCCCCCCAGTCCAAACCAATCCAGTTATTTTCCTAATTTTTTAGGGCCCCTGTCACTCAGGGGCCCTTGGAATCGTCCTAGCTTTCCTCCCCCTTACGGCGCCCCTGTACCTGCTTATCCATAAAAGTGAATAAAATATCATAATGTGTCCATATTTACACCCATCTTCCAACCATGTATCCTGCATGAGGGGTATTAATTAAGGAAACTCATATATTCTATGTGCACCTTGATTCTGTTTGTTCTGAACTGAGCAGGTCTGTCTGAAAGGTTGTTTTTCCCCCAAACAAAGTTTGTTTGATGTCCTCCTACGAAGACGTACTTGGATGGTGCATATATTTCTATTCTGGGATTTGGGATAGAGGACAGTCTTAGGAAATTACGGAGAAGGTAATGTGCTTTAAATAATTATTCGCGGGTTGTAAATTTCTGTCGGGAAAGGTCTGGTTTGGCAGAAACATTTGTGTGCTGGGGTTTGCAATGAGAGAGGACAGCTCTTTTCCTGGAAGCCATCTGTATTTATACTTATTAAATCTGTGTTCTTTCATTCTTAAGTCTTTATATGTAATACATAGATCTTTATATACTCACTGTCAGTGCTGCTTGTTAACTAACAGAAGCGATCGCCTTACAATTTGTCAGCACTCAAATAATAAACTCTAACGCAGAATTCATACACGCTGTAAAAGGGGATGGAAATTGCCGCTTTTACAGAGAAATCCGTTACTTTGCCGTACATGGAGACCGAAGACAGGGGCTGTCATTAACGGCACATTTTTAGTGCATTAAATATGCTTTAGTTGTGCAGCTGGTCGTTAGCGTAGAGGCTGGAGTGTGACGGATCTGCATGCAGGTCATTACTGTCCGCCGCGCGATTGCTTCCTGCTAGCTGGGTAGTTTTTGGCGGTAATAGCCTGTGTCCATTCTGACGTTAATCTGCAGACGGCACATATGGCTGTCTTTGCTCATCCATGCCTTGACCGTGTATTTCTGTGACGCAATGTAACCTCGCACGAGGAACCCAGCTCCCAATGAAAGAGAGAGAAATATTCTAAACTCAAGATAGGCGGAATTACATCTACTAATTGGACTGGCCAGCCTGTCGGCTATGTTCTGGAACTGTCATGTAGTAATGCAAGTGAACAAAGGAAGATAATGGCTATGTTCAGAATGTCCACTTGTCCACTCACTCACTCACTATACAGTGTTCACTACATAGAACACTGACTGGGGGATAAGTGCAGACAGCGATTGGTACATTTCATACACTAGCTGGGTGTTTTGCTGCTGCATAATTATGCGCCGGATATTCGTAATTATTATATCTGTCGCATAAACATACACCAGAACATGGACACCGACGTTGCTATTTTTTGATAAGTACACGTTGTAATTGACATATACCTTCACAACGTTGAAATAAAAATAAAGCTGTGCACATGTAACTGTATTTGCAACATATTTGACTGGACTGTATCTACCTTTGCAAGCATGATGGGGACTGCAGCTATAACTTTGGTATTTCATAGTAATCTTAAATATACTGTACTAAGTGTGAATTAATGTTACTCATGTCAAATACGTTAAAATAACTTGTTTTTAAAGCAGCAGTAGCCTTGCCACTGTTACTGTTCATGGGCAATATTTCATAAACAAGCTACTTAACAGTTGACGGTTACAGTTCAGACTGAGCAGCAGTTCCGGTGCCCACGTGGCAGCCCGCAGTCCATGGTGGTCTAAGTTGACCAATGTAGGGTGCAGCTTCTGGTGGATTTTGGTGCAGCTCACAACAATTTTGTAGTGCACTATATAGAAATTCACAGTTGATAAATGGCCGATTCACTATATAGTGGGTGAGTGGGCATTTCGAACACAGCCGATGATTGGGCTTTTGGTTTATATATCTTTAAATACATCTGCTTTTTAAAAGTATTAAAGGCATTTGTTGCTTCTTTATATTAAAACATTGGCTTACCGTAACAGAATATTTTAAGCAGGTGTGAGGACCTGGGACAGGACTAGCAACAGATCCTGTTATTGCTGTTTTATTTGCCGGTATTATAGCAAGTTACCTTCCATTAATTAGCAAGTTGTGCATTTTCCTGCTAATATACACTCCAGTATAGTTATAATTCAGTGTAATTGGATGCTATATTTGACCTGTAGCCCCAGTGCCTAGTAAATGCACTTGCTGCTGTCTTTGATAATAATTATAAATTAATATATTAGATTATTTGAGCAGTTAAGAGGGCCGTAGTTCCCCCCACAAGGCCTGGTCACTCCTGCTTTGATTCACCGCCTTTAATTGTTACTGTTGCACCTTTGAGACTAACAAGCGCGTGCTACCTGCTATGCCAGACCGTGTTACAGAGCTCTGGGGGCATTTTACTAATGTTTCTCATGTTTTTCTTTGTTTTTCAGTCACCCAGAGTTAAGGAAGGGCCACAGACTACAGAGGTGTGTCCTTATGTACTTTTCTTACTGTGTAACTAATGATAATCTGGATTTCTTGCCTGAATAAATACAGAAAATGATCAACACCTTTTAGTAAATCATCGGCTTCAGTGACTGTAGTTGTACTGAGAGTCATAGTGGTGTTGCTGTTGTTTAATGAGTGATTTGAGTAGGACCTTTGTGTTCAACACAGACCTTGCAGGACATGGTATCCCATGGGTTTAACAAGTATGGGCTTGTGTGTGTTTCTTGTTTTTTCCTCCAGCTCTTCTCATCAGATCCCCCGAGTACCCATTTTCAGCCAGTGGTCCAGGAACAGACTTCTCTACCTCATGATTCTGGCCCGGTTGTCCCAGCTGCTGTTCCACCCGCGGCACCCACCCCTGTGGTTGGTACTCCTCACTGCCAGCCCCCTCGCTTGATCGGAGGCCCAAGAAAAGCCACCTTCACCTGATTTCTCTCTTGATGGTTCTTCTTCATTCTGTCACTTGATCATTAAGCGGACAGGCCCCAACTCTATGTTTCTGTGCCTTAGGCGCTGGGTCCGGCTTCCGATGGTGCCAAATCTGCCATCAGCCTGGTACTAAGGTTGAGGTACGTCTACATATCGCTTAATTACAGTTTAATCACAGCTAAAATATTTAACAATATGGTCTGTCTGCATGGGAAATGGCAGATGACAGCTTGTTACATTTCTGAAAGTAACAGAAAATGAGGCAGCTTGTTACATTTCTAAAGCTACATTAAATGACAGCTTCTTACATTTGTAAAGTTAGAGAAAACAAGGCAGCTTTTTACATTTCTAAAGTTACAGAAAACGAGACGGCTTGTTACACTTCACTTTTCACATCTTATTATATATTGACTAAAATGGTGTGTTTTGTGAAGACAGCCCTGACAAATGTTTTGAGTGCATATTTTGGTTAGCTGTGGTACCCTGTTTGCCCAGAAGAGGGTGCTTAGAATCTCAGTTCAAGTATTCATAAGGAACAGAGAAGGCGTCATGCAAGCTCAGTGGGGCCGACACCTGTTCTGTGTGCAGAGTTGTAGGTTCTCCTCATGTTGTCTGGGTCTCCTTGGGTACTACTGTCTTTTTTCTGTAGTCCAAAAACAGTACACCCAGTACAGCCTGAGATAAACCAGGCTGTACTGGATAAGCAGTTATGAAAGATGGACAGATAATATAAACAAGAATTAGAGACTTGTCATATAGTGATACATGAGATTAAAGTAGTGGAATCTCAAAATCACACAATATGTTGCAATTATTTTGTGCAATAAGTTTCCTGTTGCTGCATTTGGCACAGTGTAATGATGGTGCAATGTTACATATTTTCTCTCGTCTTTTTCTGTCTCCTAGAAATTTAAAGAAGGAACTAAATGATATAAGATTTGAATTCATGCCCGGAAGAGGTAAGTAGAGCTCAGTTAAAATTCCACCATAAAAATAACAAATGTGTGTACCATTTTATTACACTACAGTTTGAAACAGTTTACATCACAGTGATTTGCATGACTTTGTTCCATCTTTGGCACAAAGATTCTAATGTTCCCAGTGGCTGATGCAGCAAGATTGCATGGAAATTCACTGGTTGTGTGTCTTAATGACTGTTGAGTTTGCCGGCCCATAATGTCACAGCTAATTTGAACCCCAGTTCAGAAAAGGACAGATTGCAGAGCAGAGGGCTGTCAGGCTGCGTGGGTTAGCAGGGTGTGCTAAACAGGTCTCCGCTGCTCTTCTCGCCATAGACACAGCTGATGGGGTCTCCCAAGAGCTGGTCTCCGCAGGCCTAGTGGACGGCAGAGATTTAGTCATAGGTGAGTGGGAATCTGCTTACAGACTACACCATTCTGCAGGTCGTCTGCCGTTAGCTGCAGACTGCTCCTTAGGATGCCAATCATTCGCCACTAAGGCACGTTGGTCTTCATCAATCCTCATATCAGCTGATGTACATGTGTATATGTAATGTCTATTATAATAAACATAAGTACAACAGATATAGAAAAATATAATGAATATTATTGTATACAGGCAGTTCTTGACTGACATAAGACATCCATTTCGCAAAACGTTACGTAACTCAAATTTTACGTGAGCTGGATTTACCTTCCCATATCATTAAAGGCACCTTATATCACAAAACACGTAAGCCAAAAATATCTAGTTATACACAATGAAGAGCATACATTAAAATAAATGGAAAGATAAACTGGAAATTTACTAACAGATGTATGTCGCCTTTTTTGCATTGGCACTTCCATGAACTTTATGCATCTTGAATATTTCTTGCTACCGTCCGTATTTGCTAAAGTCGGTATTACGTAAATCGAGAGCTGTCTGTATTAACTATAGATATTTAATAACATATAATGGGGGAAACCTCAGCATGTTTTAAAGTCACACTTTTTCTGTAGTAAATAACTCTACATCTTTTTACCCCCTCCAGTTGCTGCTAATTTGCAGAAAATAGTTGACAATCCTCACACCAACAAGAATTTAACTTTCAAGCTGGTAGGTTGTGATACATAAATTTGCCAGTGCTTCATTGCCATTTCTGCCAAACATGGCTGTTCTTTTGGCCTCTAAGTTATGAATTCTCTTTTTGGGGTGCAGTTGGTTGCTATTGGCCTGATACTGAGTGAGCAATTACATGTATGCACTTATCCACCCTTTAACCTGTGATGCGGCATTTTCAAAAGAGCATAAAGTATTATTTTTGAAACGGAAAAAAGTCACCAAATACAAACAAACGTGTATGACCACAATGATAAATAATAAACAAACAGTACGGCCCAAATGACTGTGAAATACTGCTGTTGTTATAATTGTCACTGTTTAATATATGGCCGGTATCATAGGTAATACATGGATTTTTTTAAATTAGCTTTGAGTACCCTCAGCTTTTGTTGTTTCTGTCATGTTATAGAGGAAGTCTAATACCACATCGGTTTATTTTGTGGTGCAGAAGGTTTAATGCTATTTCACAGCAGTACCTGAATGCGACATGTGAAATATGAATTCATTATAAAGTTGGTGGTTATCAAAGTTGCAGACAAGTTGGACAAACAAAGCCAGATTAATGATTTCACAGCTATTAATCCACTGTGGCTGAATGTAGCTATTGCTTTAAGATGCAGTGGAACAAACCTTAAAATGGTTCAAAAGAAAAAAAAGAAAAAGAAAAAAGTAACACCTGCAAGCTCATTTTTCTCTCTATCTTTTCAGGCCTCCGGTGTAGAAGGGTCTGAAATTCCCGACGACGTCAAACTTATAGGATTCGCGCAACTCAGCATTAGTTAAACTTTATTGTCCCTGGACACCCAGCTTGCCTGAAACAAAAATAGACATCATCAACCTAAAGAAACCACTACTGCCAAAGAAAAGAAAAATACCATATTGTCAACCCCATAGGATTTGGAAGCATCACATTAGAAGTAGGATTGCCTACGGATATTAACAAAATAGGAATTATATATTAGTGTTTACAGGTATATGTTCTGAAGGATTATCACCATTGTCCAAAAACCAGATATTAGCCTCAGTTCCGTATTAGTTATCATTCATTAAATGCATTTGCACAAGGTGAACTAACACTGGTGATCAAATTATGCCTTATCTTCTGAATTACTATCGACTCGTACTCACGGGGATGTGCCACCTACTAGTTACTGTGTTTGAGCATGAGACGGGCTGAGTGTGGTCTTGGCTGTGCTTGTTTTCAATCCGAAGACAGCCTCGGATATGCCATCGAGAATCTTGTTCTTCATAGCTTGGGCCGAGACCATTGGGACGGTAGTTGAAAGGTCTTGCCCAAACTAACGTGCCACTGATTCCTAAACCAGAACCGCCTATCAGGCACCGATTACAAGCTTAGAGATGTTTTATGTCCCGGTCTCGGGAGTGCCATAACGTGTCATATGCCAGAAGTGCTCACGGTGCTGTGAGGACCGACATGCCAAGGTACAGATCACATGTTTACTAGCCAGCTTGTTTGTGTTACTAACCCCGAGTCACTGATGCAAAACCTCTGACACACCCCATGACTTGCTGTTCGTATGTGTGACCGTACAGCCTCCCTTCAGCCTTGTTTACTGTGAAGATGTTTCTCAGAGCAAGCAGCGTGAGTGGAAACATATTTTTATTTATTTATTTTTTTGCAAGCTGTGTGTCGTCGACGTTACGGAACAGCGTGTGTCTGTCTTCAGCTCCCCAATTTGAAGACCAAATATGCACAAACGTACATTTCGAACGAGTCTCATGTGCTCTCACTTCCTGGTAATCCCACTTAAACCCTTTCAGATCCGTGTTAGTTTTTCCTGTCTGCCCGTGAATTTGATCGGATCCGTTGTGCGTCCGCAAGCATTTCATTTGGGAGATTTTTGCCACCGTAGTAAACTCGTGTGTGCCGTCGCTTGTGGGTCTGTGTGGCGGTCACCCAGCTGTGACCTCTGAACTGGCTTCTCAGATTCAAGTGCATATTAGCGAACAATTAACGTGGAGCGGAATGCTTTATTCATAGTGTGTAAATAACATTTTGGTGGTTTTCTACTGGGCGTTATACGCATTGCCTTTTGATCTTAAAATATATACACTATATAGAGGAATGGTAATGGGCGTAGCATTTAATTTAATTTTTTTCTGGGTTGATGTCATCATGGTTTAATGTAGAAAGCTTGTTTTCAGCTTGGGGTCTCTGTTTTCCTCACTGAATGTTCTTCGTTTAAGGTATAATGGGTAGTACCCCTGCTTAATCCTCTAAAACGCTAAGCCGCGTGAATCAATTAAACTTTTGGCAAGAGCCTAACTGAAACTCTGCTGTGCTTAAATTTGTTGACAACAGATGTCTTTAAAAAATTTTCTTCTTTACACACAGGCACGCATGCCCTGCACAACATGTGCAAAGGATAAATATGTATTTTTTTTGTCAGTCATATGTTTTCCTGTGACACTAAAACTATTTGCCCTGCAACTCTTGCTAGCAGCCCAGATCTTTAGCCAATTTCAGCATCTCGGACATAGAGCGATTGATTATTGTAAAACAGGAAATCTGTTTGTGTTATGTTTATAAAACGATTGTGTGTTGCGTTGGGTTATAAATGCCAGGTCGATGTGGCTTTTTGACTAGATGCTGTGTGCTGATGCACACTGTTCCTTGTGAGAGCTGGGAGGTCATTGTCGCAGCCCGCGTGTTTGCCTGTCGTCGTTATGCTTCTGGGATATGTGCTTTTGTGCAGTTTGAGATTCTGTGTGGTGTTGTCACTAATTCTCCAGCACACAGTAATTTGTCTTTCAGTGGATGCTCTTCCAAAGGCTATCCAGAGCATTTGAATCCCGAGCATTTCTGACTCTTGGATCATGAAGCTGTATTAAAATGTCAAGTAAAATGGCTGTTGTCTGAGATCCAAGCTGTGAACTAGAGCTTGCAGTATATTCTTGCTTGATTTCTTTAAAAAAAAAAAAAAACTTGGCCATTAAAATAATGACTGTCTACTCTGCATTAGAGAACTTTAGTCGTTACTTGATTTTTATTGAGAATAATTCTTTTTCAACAGTACAAACTCTGAATCATCTTATGTATATAAATTGTACAAAAAGTAGTATTATTTGAAATGGTTTGTAACGGATTAAATTTAATTTTCTAAGGAATAGAAATGAATGACCAATGACATTTCTACCAGTTTTCTTTTGTAATAAAAGGTAATCCCTTCCTCCAGACGTTACTGGGCAACAAAATCCCTGTTCAAATTGAATATATAAAAAATATAAAAGTGTTACCTAAACAATGAAGAAAATTCAGTGCCATTATTACCCTCCAGTAACCTGGATACTTTCCAAAACATAAAATTCTGTTAATTTGTTTTTATATGTATATTTTTTCACTTTCAGGTCTCTTCCCCTTTTAGTTTCTTGTCTGGTTGTATTATATCGTAAATAAATTCCAGTTACGTGGTGATGCCTTTATGTACCATAGAATATCACAGAGTATCAAAGCTGTAAAATATTTAGTTTTAAAATTTCTTTTATTTAAGTTTTAATTTGTTGGTTCTCTTATTTGTTGGCTTCACTCTTTTATTGGTTATGGATTTCAATGCATGTTTCGATGATTATTTGTTAATAAAGAATGGATTTATCAGCCTGCTGTTTGTGGCTTGGTTCATTCAGTCCTCCTGTTATTGACGATTAAGGTGGGCAGATTAAAATCCATGCATCACATTCAGAAACTAGCTTGATTTTTTTATACTAGCTGAGTTCTGCGTTTGCTCCTACAGTTATGTCATGTCCTATGCCCTTTCCCTCGATGTTCTGTCTTGCAACTGATGCATGAGATTTTCACTGTGTTCTTTGGAAAACACCTGACAATAAAACTTGAAACAATAAGTGACATCAGTGACTGTGTTACCCAGGAGACAGCGGTGGGAACTTGGACTTGTTCAATTGTTTTTCGTCTAGATGGCTCATGGATTTGAAGCTGGGAAAGTCATTCTTTCGAAGATGGTATTCACGGAGAACATGTGTGACGACACCCACCCGTAGTTACAGGAAGTAACAATATAAACAACACCTGTTTACCAGTGATACTTCCAGATTTCATGAGTATGAATCTTGATGTTTTCATTGTCAAAGCCGTATAAAGCTATACTTAAGTGATTCTCAGATCGGTATCTGCATTGTCTGTCCTGGTCAGGTTCAGGTGGTTTGCCAGTATAAAGCCCAGTACGGATGTTTTGTGAGGAGTTTGACCACGTGGCCAGTGAATGCTCAGCATATGTGGGACCTCCTTCAGGACAGCTGGAAAAGCCTCCCAGGAGGTGTAGAAGAGAAAGTAGAGTAAACCAGTCCCTGGAGTAATTGGGGTTAAGGAGTTTGCTCAAGGGCCTAACAGCGGTACCACTCTGCCGACCATGGAATGTGAACCAGTAACCTACTGAATTCCAACCCGCAAAGCCTCCCACTGTCTCCCAACAATTTTTTTTTGATCAGTGTATAATTCTATATTTTATTTTATAGTTTTGATGCCTTTATATCCTTCCTATGAGTAGGTGTGTCTAGTCTTTTGACTGGTATTGTGTATATATATGTAATGTGCGAGCGTGGTATTTTTATTAGGCAAGGTCACATTGTGTCCTGAAATCCATAGACAAAATGTCTGCATTTCACTATTATACACTCTATGTCCATTCCTTGGACACGAGTCTGCTTCCACGACATGTGCGCAGCGTCCTTAACTTAACTTAATAATTGATGCAATCTAGGTAATAACATGCATATCTGTGTAAAGTCTAAAGGTGCTGTTCGTGCTTTTATGCTCACTGAGGTTCCTAGGCTTTGCCGCCATGCTGAAGTGAGCAGAAAATCAGTGATGGACCTTAAAACACCTTCACCTCGTCATTAAATCACTACGGTTATTGCGGCACTTTGAACCGTCATGTTCCCGGAGGAATTCCCGATTGATACCTTGAGAGTTTTTTTGCTGGAAATTCTTTTAGCTACCAAAGAATAACATAGAGCTGGGAGGGGACTGATTGTTTAGCAGGATATTACAGTGTGTTGGTTTAAAGATTAATTTAAATATGCACGTCGGGTTGAAATGTCATTCCGAGCGCCGGCACAGCCTCACACCTCTGGCGGAGTCCCTGCGTCAGGAGCATGAGCTGCTTCGAGGAGGTCCTCACCGCTATTGGGGAGTTTGGTGCTTTTCAGAAGCGCCTGCTGGTCGCAGTATGTCTCCCCAACCTTTTCACTGCCTTCCACATGTTCGGCCAAGTGTTCATGGTGCTGGACGTCCCGCACCACTGCAACACCAGCTGGATTCTGAGCCTGGGACCCAACCTGACCGTGGAGGAGCAGAAGAACCTGACCCTCCCGAGGAGAGATGGGCAGTATGACTCCTGTCTCATGTTCACGCCCGTGTCCTCGGACCTGGACGAGATCAGGGAGTACGGGCTGAACGAGACCACCAAGTGCAAGGATGGATGGGTGTATGAGAATCCCCAGGGCAGCTACACCATACTGTCAGAGGTATAATGCATCATGTCAACCTTGGGAGAGCTTCTGCAAAGGACCAAGGGGCGCCACAAGTTGGAATTTTATACTGTGTGGTGAAATACATCACCATATTGGTGGGCGTATATGTGATCAGATTATGCTTACGCTGTATGATGGGTTGCCACCATGTTCTAAAAATCCCAGCCAATAGTAAGAGCTCCTGGATACTCTCTGTAATATAGCAAATTACAAATCAAGGCATTGACAGTGTTCACAGTCATAGCTTTATTACAAAGCCAGGAGCAAAGTTAAGCTTATCCTGTTAAAAGAGGAATTACTTGCATCAAACGATCATTGAAATTTGACTGCAAATGCTCAGTTTATAACTGCACTTCATTGCACTTTTATCAGTTACCACTTGAATATGTTGTTTATTATTGTACAGCGTTATATAATTGCAATATGTAATTTCTTTTGTGTTGTTTATCTTAGATAATCCTCATTGTTTTATATGGAAAAAGATTTATAAAAACATCTGGGGAAATCATACCGTTTATTACGTAACCTTTCAAAATTGAATGTCAGAACTGAGTTGGCTGACAGAGCATTTGTATGTAAAATGCCAGGTCATCTAAAATTGTCTCTATTCGCACTATTTTTTTTAACCCCCTGCTAATGATTGGTTAGCCATAAATTGTTAACCCATTTAGCGTAGCTGAAGACAAACGCCAAGCTTTCCCGCATGTCCTCACAAAGCAGCAGAAACACAAAAGTTCTGTGGTAGCTGTGAGCCTTTGTTTTGTAAATGCATGATCCTGTGAAGTGATGCATGATCCTGTGAAGTGATGCATGATTGTTAACGTAGCAGTGGACTACATGCTTTTCTGTAGTGGCTACGTCACTGACTCCATCATTGCTTCCCCTCAGTTTAACCTGGTGTGTGACAACAGAGTGCTGAATGAGGTCTCGCAGTCTATCTACATGGCCGGGCTCCTGGTCGGGGCTCTGGTGTTTGGCCCAATGGCGGACAAGTATGGAACACATAAATTCCAGCACAATTAAATACGACCCACCTGCACATTTAAGTATCCAATAAAAAACTGATTATGCTTACATTCGTTTGGCTTTAGACAATGTTTCCTTTTGCAGTTTCCTATAGCAATTGTAGCTTTTGGATGAAGGCTCTCTTTTACTTCCCGATTACAAAATTGTCTCTTGATAACATATCTGTAAGCTATGCTAATAAATTTTAATATATACATAATCACATTTTTGTGACGTGTGATAATCTAATCTCATAATCCTGTTTATTAGGTGCTTTGTAAAAGTAAATGTAACATACTTAATAAAAGTAGCTACTGTATGCAGATAATCCAGACATTTTGTCTGGTGATTTACTTGTTTTGTTTGTAATATTGATCTGAATAGATTTCCTCTGTGTACAGGGACAGGAATGAGGAGGATTTTGTGTGTTTATTTGTGCCTCTAGGTACGGACGTCGGACCGTGATCCTGATCTCTCTGCTGCTGCAGGTGATCTTTGGAGTGGGGGCGGCCTTCGCACCAAACATCTACGTCTACATCGGCTTTCGCTTTGTGGTTGGCATGGCGATATCTGGGATCGGCCTAAACACATTTGTCTTGGGTACGCCGTCCTTACCAAAGTCGTTAACCGTGCCATGTTATTGGAGAGCTAGACGTGACTTATGGAAGCCAAAAATAGCATTGGAATTGGCACTAAATTTTTTTTTTATAATCTTCTAATAAATTTCAGGTAGAATTTCTCACATTGCTAAACCCTTTACTTCTTAATATCCCTGTTCACCATCGATCCTAATGCGATATAAAGGCAAAGAACTTGAATCCTGGAGTTACTAGCTTGTTTCTACACAAAACATAACCCCCAAAGTCAACAAAATAATAGCAGAAAATAATGGAAGAATAAAAATTGCTGAAAGCTCTTCCAGATGCACATGGTTGTTATCAGGAAGCATCAGACTGACAGTGTAATGCAGTGCACTTGTAGCCCACTAATAAAGCTTGTCCCTCACCGCCCTTTCTTTCAGGTGCTGAGTGGTGTGGAGTTTCCAAGCGGACCTTCTGCACCATTGTGCCCCACGCTTGCTTCGCCGTTGGCCTGATGGTGCTGTCGGGCATCGCCTACGGTATCAGGGACTGGAGGACCCTGCAGCTCGTCCTCAGTGCCCCTGTCCTCGCCCTTGGCATCTACTACTGGTAAAATTGTGGAGTTTCTGTTACTCGCAACCCGGCCTGGAGGCTATGCTAAGCATGGTTTTGGGTATAGAATAGTGGTGTTAATCGATTAAAAAAAATTATCCTGTTAATCACAATAAAAGGCTGTGATTAATCATGATTAATCACACATTTAAAGTGGTAGTAGGCTATTGGCTTGTGTTTTCTAGAAGATGAAACAATTACATGTGTGGTCTTGGAACAACGTAATGCATGACAAACTGGTAAGAGGAATCGTGCATTTTTTATTATAACATCTTGGGTTTGGTTCCAAATGTGTAAGTTGCTAACACAATTAGCAGCTATGCTTTTGGAAATTGTATTTGCTCTCTGCTTTAATTTTTTGATTCTGTTTTTGAACGCATTTTTGAACAAACAGCGAACATGTAAGTTGCATCATTTATGTGAATTTTGTAGACTCTGTGATAATTATGCATTATAATTATAGTGTGTGTTTTTAGTGCAAAAGTTAATATTTTGCGTAAAATATCTTATTCTCAGCAAACGCGATCCCTTGGTGAGCAAAGCAAAAAGATATGTGAAATGAGAGATATCACTGTGAAATATCAGGTTAGAGGCTGCCTCAAACACACTAGGTGTCCTCCTAACCAGCCCTGTACATGTATTTTATGCATTTATGAGTTACTAGACTTTTTGTGTGTCGTCTTGTCTGAGGCTTTCACAAAAGTCCCAAAAACTCATTTATTTTTTTATGCTGACCCTGTGATACATCGAAAGCACAACGGGGAAAGTTGTGATGCAGAAGGGCCGACTATAATTGTACTTCTGATACATGCTTTGGCAAAATAAATGCTGTACGTTCTGATTATTTTGCTGAATTTGTCAGTTGGCTAAACATTAAGTATGGGAAATAACTGGCATATTATTCATTTTCTTTCTTTTCCATTAATTTTTGATGATAATTTGAAATGTTGGAGTCTATCCCTCTTACGTAAGACAGATGCCTTCTGAATGTTCTTGAAAGGATCCTTCCTGAATCTGTACGGTGGCTTCTGACCCAAGGGAAAAGAAAGGAGGCCAAGAAGCTGATTATGAAGGCGGCGAGAGTGAACAAGAAGGAGATCCCAGAATCTCTCCTGGATAAGGTCATATAACAATGGATTCAGGATGGATGGCATAACTGGGCAAAGAATGTAAAAAGCACACAACAGGGGCATACAAAACCAATCTATACTGTAGAGCTGAAACATTTGTTCAGGCACGATGTTCTATTATAAAAATATCTGCGAAGTATGTGTTGGGCTGGAGACCTTTATCAGACATGGTTATTGAGTGGGGCTGACAGTATATATCTTGTAATGTTCCCCCAGATAGAAGTTGAGCATGACACCAAGACCAAGACTGGTAGCTTTTTGGATCTTATCAGAATCCCTTTTCTGAGGAAGCGAGTGCTGACCATGAGCTACGTCTGGTGAGTTAGAGCCACACAAGTACACAAATCCCAGAAATCCTTCCGTTAGACCAGTGTTTCTCATCCCAGTCCTCGGAGACCCCCAGACAGGCCACATTTTAGCTCCCTACCAGCTCCCAGCCAATCAACAACATCAAATACCTGGTACAGCTATGCTGGAAGCTGGGAGGGAGCAAAAATGTGGACTGACTGGGGATCCCTAAGGATTTTAGCAACGTTTGGCCTTGACCTCGACCTCGACCTTGACCTTTCACCAGAATGAGTCCTTCTATGCTGGAACTCAGGAGTGGAAGCTCCCTAGGTTTGACCTTTCCTTTGTAGATTTGGTCCTATGTCATGGATAACCTCAGTTAGGCAGGGAAGGACACCAACCTAGCCTGTTACTTCTGTTGATAGGTAGGGCAACATGACAGTCGCACTGTTTCTCTCCACGTTTCAGTCACTGCTTTTGAGGGGGTGGCAGGAGAGTTTCTTGCTATTGAACAAAAAAAAGTCAAGTCTTTTTTTTTTTTTTTTTTGAAAGTAGACTGGCATCGGGAATAAAATACCCAGGGCTTTAGCCGTGAGTGATTGGACCTAACAATGCCCATGGTGGGTGGTATCCTTGTCTGCATTTTTTCAGTGCCATTCAGTTACTTGTCGAATGGCTATTTTAAAAACCTGCTGATACAGTATCCTTCAGTGAACCAGGATTCTCCAGCCCTCTCTTAGGAGCACTTAACACTTAATTTACCCTTATATTTAATTTATGGTAATGTTTGCAGTTTATAAACTTCATTAAGTTATGTTTTATTCGCACAAACATCTCTGTAATCCTGGACATATCTTTTGAAGATTCTTTAGATAATTGTATTTATATTGTTAATCAAGGGGGTGGTGTGTAGCTAAGCTGGGAAGGACCAGTGATCAGAAAGTCACCAGTTCAGATGCTTTGTTTGGCAGAGGCTTTTATTGATGGGCCCTTGAGCAAGGCCGTTAATCCCTGATTGCTCCAGGGGCTGGTTGATGCTTCTTTCTCAATTGAATGTCACTTTGGTTAGAAGTGGCTACTAAATAAATTCATGTAGATGTAATGAAGTGACGGGTAGAGAAAAAACAGCATTTAAAGGGTAGGAGACTGTAAGAGTGTTGGGAACCCAGTGTTTCTCAACTCAGTCCTTGGGAAGCCCTGGATAGTCCACATGTCTCCCTCTTCCCTCCAGCACACCTGTACCAGGTATTCAGGTGCTTCTCTTTGGCTGGGAGCTGGGAGGGGGAGCAAAAATGTGGACTGTTTGAGGGTTCCCAAGGGCTAGATTGAGAAACATTGGGGAATCCATCATATTGATGAAATCTGAACATCAACAGTGATTGTATTTGGGTTCATGCAGAGGCATTTATTTAGTCAAAATCATAGCATTTAAGAGGTAATTGTCCTTCTCCTTCCTTGGCTTGATCTTACAGGTTTGTGACTAGCCTGGTTTACTACGGCCTCAGCCTGAACGTGGGGAGCTTTGGCCTGGATATTTACCTCACGCAGTTCATCTTCGGCTTTGCTGAGCTTCCTGCCCGTCTGGGCAGCATCCTGGTCCTCGACCGTTTTGGAAGGAAGAAATGCCAGAGCCTTGTGCTGATCTTCGGGGGGGTAGTCTGCCTCCTCATCCTTGCTGTTCCACAAGGTAGCTGCCCAGAGAAGTCCTGCTAGTCCTCCTAGTTCACCTTATCTTTAATAATTTGATCAAATTTCTTATTTGCGTAATGTGTTTACCGATAAATCACAAATGTCTGACTTAATAACCATCTCATTGTTTTAGCTACTTTATAAGTAACATTAAATTCATGTTTATATAGTCTGTATGTGCAGGCAAAGAGCTCAGGACCAGTTTAACATTTAGTCTTGCTTTCCAGGACAGCCTGTGGTGGTGACCGTCTTAGCAGCAATCGGCAAATTTACTCTTGCTGCCTCTTTTTCCATCGCGTATACGTACTCTGCTGAACTGTACCCGACAGTCATCAGGTCAGGGAAACATCTACTGTCCAACTCGAGTGTATTCTTTATTCTTCATTCTGTTCCATGTGGTAACGCTTTACATTAACTGCACCTTCGTAATGCATTCATTGTGCATTCATAGAACATTCATAAGCAGCATGCAAGTACACCTTAACACCCTAACATCTAACAGCTTTAATATGCATTAATAACAAACATTACATGATTATACAATTATAATGTTTGTTATTATTATATAATGTTTGTTATTAATGTATATTACAGCTATTAAGGGATGTTAGGATGTACATGATGTTTATGAATGTTTTATGAATACTTAATGAATACATTATGAAGGTGTCCTGAAAGTTTTATGAATGCAATATAAAAGCATTATGAAGGTGCAGTTAATGTAAAGCGTTACCTTTCATGTTTTATATGAATTTAAGTGTTCGGGTTTGATTTGGGGTATTTTGTTTGAAGGACTGGAAAAAAATACAAAAATAATAGTTTTGGGATATTCCTGGCATGAGCGTGAAAACCATGGCGGTTAGGACTGTTTCTGGAGTGAATTGAAGTGGTTGATTTGATGTGGGTACATATATTAACTTCTGGAACATCTCTGATGCTCTGCTCCAGGCAAAATGGCGTGGGTATGAACTCCATGGCAGCCCGTGTGGCTGGGATTCTGTCTCCTCTGATCCGACTTCTGGAAGTCTACCACCACTCCATCCCCATGATCATATATGGGGTCAGTCCCCTGATTGGTGGGGCACTCTGCATCCTGCTGCCCGAGACTCTGAATGCGGAGCTCATGGATCACACGGACGCCGTAGCCGATGAGGACGTGTGAGTTCATTATTGAAAAATAATTTTGCTTAATACAGTTTTAGTGACTGAGCAAGACTGAAGATTGTAGAGGGATATTCAGGTGACATAGGTACTCATGGTACTCCTTATATCTTCTAAGTAATGAAATAAAATTTAAAAAAACAGGCGGATATGTCAGACAGCTATGAGGTCCTGCAAACTGAACTGGGCCACACTGGTTGACTGGCTAGAGGATTGGACTATGACTCAGAGAAAGTTAATGTACTGAACTGATATGATAAAAACGACTGTATAAAGTATAATAAGATATTGTCTGGCAAGATCTGCCAAAGCAATAAAAGGGAATTACAGCTGGGGTGTTATTTAATCGAGTGGCTGTCTTTTATTGTAGGTCCTCAGAAAAGCCAAGGATTGAAAATGGACTCCTGCACAGTCAAGAACTGAAAGAAGTGCAAGCAAAGGTGACAAAGTTATAGATGTTCTTTATAGGTTGTCATTGCAATGTAAACTTTCATAATTGTTTAAATTTCTAAAGGTGTATAACTTTTGTGATATTTAGTTACTTTGTTTAAAATCCCTGTACTTATTAACACATGCATAGCTCATGTTAAATGTATATACATTCTTCAGGGTATTAAAATAATTAATTTACAATTTATAGTACATACTATGTGCAAAGAACATATATTTACTACATATTTAAGAACACTACAGTGTGCCTCACTGAAAGAAGCCATTTGAAATATACTGTTCCACTACATTAATATAAAGTACCTATGCGTTTAAAGTCATATATTTTCTTTACCATATTTTTCATTTAAAATATTATTTATTCTTTAAGAAAATGAAAATACTCAGCAAACATCACACCCTGTTCTTACAAACTCTTTTTACAATCAGTGGCTGAAGGTGTGACATGAGGAACTTATCTTGGAGAGATGTGATCTTGTGATTGTGGCGTGATGTGCATTGCACACAGGTACAGAAAGGCTTTAAGTAAAATGAAAATATTGCTGAGACTGAATATACTGAGCAGGAAGATGAATATTGTACTGTAAAGACTTGTTGAATATAAAGCTACTGTTGTGGTCCTGGAGGGCCAGAATGCAACACACTTTTGAGATTTCCCTGCTCGAACGCGTCTAACTCTGCTAATTACCAGGTTAGTAAGTGTCTCTCAGCAGGGAAATCTGCAAACTGTGTTGCAAACTGGCCCCCCAGGACTGGGACTGGGAAAACCTGCTGTATGATAAAGATACATTTATCCTGTGTAACTATGCTTCTGATGTATGTTTTGATAAAATAAATGATGTAAAATTTTCTGTCTTTTCCTTTATTTAAAAAAAACATTTATTTAATAAATGTAATAGTTTTAAGTCTTTCCTTGAATGGTAGCTCAGTGGGTAGGACTTGTTGCCTCACACCTTAGGGGCTGGGAGTTTGAATCCAGTCGGTCAGTGGAGTTTGCATGTTCCACTTACTCAGATATGCCTCTAGCATTCGCTTGTCTGCTGATGTGCAGAGAAAAACAGCAGAAAGTTATCTAGTGACAGCAAGGTTCATTAGGATAGGTGATAGATAAAAGTGAATCAAATCTGAATATCGCTGGTGGTATGTTGTGCAAAACTCAAAACAGTCATATGCGGTGGTATGAGCTGATCGTGATAGACTGGTACAGGTGACGAGGGCCTGAGCTGATCAGCTAATGTGTCAGGCAAGAGTCTGAGACTCTGATGCTTAAATCCTGATTCATCTGCAGACCATGTTTGCTGTTGGGGTTAGCAGTATGCTTACTTTACATCCCAGAAACGAAAGCAGCGATAGCGGAGATGACCGTGTGATAGATATCATTTATCCATTGGCATCTGTTTTGTTTTCGTTGACATAGTCTCAGTGCTGACGTAACTGATTGTAACGTGTTTGAGGCGATGGTCACGACGCATAAGCTAAGCTATCTGGAAAATAACGAAGTCGTAATAAAATCAAGGAAACGACACGCTGCCAATGAGCGGTGGATGTTAAACTGACTTAAAGACAAACGAAAGACCAGTTTAAAGCTCATAGTTCATCACCATTGCTCCTTCTAGGGAGTTTCATACCTTTCATGTGTACCTGTGGCTCATAGCCTTAGAACATGACCTTTGACCTTTTGGCTGCTATGGTGACACCTGTGAAATGGGGCCTGGGCTGTGCTTGCCCACTATATAGTCCACTATGCAGTGAACCAGCCATTTCGTAATGCTATATGGATTCTCAACTGTTAATTTCATTCACTTTATAGTGCAAATCACAAGGTTCTCCAAAATGTCGTGTACAGAAGCTATACCTTGTATCGGTTGACTTACACCATCATGCACTGTGGCCTGTCACGTGAGAGTCAGAACTATATTTGAGAAACTTTATTCCATCTGAATTGCAACCATTAACTGGATCTCAGTAGCTTGCTTATGAAATACTTGCCCATGAACTATAACAACAGTGGCAGGACCTACCGCTGCCTTAAAAACAAAAGGTTATTTTAACGTATTTGACTGCTTTGTATGGGTAACGTTAATTCACTTAAGATTACTTTCAAATACCAAAGTTATAGCTGCAGTCCCCATCATGCTTGCAAAGGTAGATACAATCCAGTCAAGTATGTTGCAAAGTTACACGTACAGTTACATGTGCACAGCATTGTGTTGTAAAGTTTCATTTTATTCTTATTTCAACATCGTGAAAGTTTATATCAATTACAACGTGTACTTATCCAAAAATAGCAACGTCGGTGTCCATGTTCTGGTGTTTGTTTATGCGACAGATATAATAATTACGAATATCTGGCGCATAATTATGCAGCAGCAAAACACCCAGCTAGTGTCTGAAATGTACCAATCGCTGTCTGCACTTATCCCCCAGTCAGTGTTCTATGTAGTGAACACTATATAGTGAGCGAGTGAGTGGACAAGTGGACATTCTAAAGACAGCCCTGGATTCCATGAGACCCGAGGCCGCGCATCGGTAAGGCCGGCCTGGGGTTTGGTATTTTAGAATATCTCTGCTAACAAAGAGGGATCAAGGTGAATTTAAATAGTCATAGATCTTGTGATGGTAACCAAGGCTACTGACCTGTTGTGGCAAAGTTCTTCTTATGCATTCCAGGCTCTCTGGTGTGTGTGTGTGTGTGTGTGTGTGTGTGTGTGTGTGTACGTGCGTGTGTGCGCGCGCCTCCTAACATGGACTCTTGTGTGTGTGCGTGCGTGTGTGTGTGTGTGCACGCGTGTGTGTGCGAGCGGGTGTGTGTGTGTGTGTGTGTGTGTGGTGTTCTCCTGCCTAGTGCTTCCTGGGATACACTCCTGGCCGCTCCCCTTGACTGCAGATTTGAGAACAATTTGCAAGATGGATAGATAATCGTCTATAAATACATACTTAAGTGTTTGATGGAAATGAGGTGGTGAAGTCAAAAACAGGGAACATGCAAAACATGAAACAAGAAGGTTTTATGTAAGATATATGACAAACAGGTGATATGTCAAAGGTGTTAACTGAAGATGTAAAAATGAATGATTAATTACAAACTTTACAATGGTCATTGCAGTTTAATCTTAAAGGATATTCAGGAGAAAGCTTTCGTTCCTGCAGTGAATCCCACTGCAGTCAGTCATCCCGCCCCTCCAGGAAGGATCTCACAGGGCTTCCGAGGTTGCAGTTTACTTTGTCCATATTTGGTCTTCTGTTTACGCCTTACATTTCTTTCAAAATCATATGTAATATTTCTTTTTGTAGTTGTTCATCTTTAATTATGAACATGACACTCTGGGCAATAAACAGTACTCTGCTGTTTATTGTAGTAAGAGGGAGAGGATTTTCTTGTGTGTTTTTACTGTATGGGTAATATGGCTGATTTTCATCTGTTGAATAAAAAAACTTCTGCATAGGGCACTTAAGATGGTGTGTTTTATTTATTGTAGTTATGTTATATGCTACCTAAAAAGATCTGACAGTGTTTGATCAGCTGGTAATAAATGTACCAATCATATTGTTAATGAGTATATTTTTATATTAAAAATCAATACATAATAATGAAAAAATAATAAGATGACCAGGATGAATTATGTCTCCTGAATGTTGAATTGTGACGATGCAGTCAATCAGGCACTGAGATTAACAATCTGGGAAAAACAGAAGACGTAAATAATCGGCGTGAGAAAATATTTGCAGTTTGTAATTCTTTACTTTCTTTAATAAAAACAGGTTGACGTTGCATTCTTTGTTGTTTTCCGAGTATCCTCACAAAAGTTCTTCCGTTTGCAAACTGAAGAATCCTCTTTAAACATTTCTATTTAGGTAAAGTTGTTTTTAAGATTCAATTGTCTCCGGTTATTTTTGTTTGTTCTAGTTTATTTTAATCTGTGCAGTAAACTCACCGAATGAAGAGTCGGAGTTGTCATCGGAGTCAGTTAATTTCTCTTTAGCGTCTTTCCGAGGCTCTTTTGTGGGATTACTGTCTGCAAGCTTCTGAATCCAGCGATCTTTGTGCTGTTTATACCCGAATCCTTCATCGTAATTCCCTTTAGCTCTGAACAGTTGCTGATAATGGAAAATGCAGTAAAACTCCCCATATAGAGCAGCGTAGTTTTGAATACTAGAGTAGAACAAAGGACACAGATCTTCATTAAAGTTCTCTGGAACTGAAAAGAATTTCTAGAGAAATATAGGTTATCTCTGGATCACTTGTAACACAGACAGTTATCATGCCCTTTAAAATCTGATATGATAATTACTCAATTAAACTATCAACTAATAAATTATATTGACTTTTAAGTTAACAAAATAACCAATAATTCTAGTAATTTTTGATCTGAAAAGAATAGCACATCTTCATAGCAGACATTATTATTTAAAATGTACATTTTTGTGAAAGCAGGGTCAGACAATTTATGGAGCAATTAGGGGTCGAGGGCCTTGCTCAGGGTCCCAGCAATTATATCACTCTGCTGACCCTGGGATTTGCACTGGTGACCTTCTGATCCCAGGTACAGCATCCTCATCCACTGCTGTGTTACAGTTAATATATTCATGTATTGTTTTTTCATGTGGACCTGGACATCTCACCTCAGCTTCTTCTTGCAGTGCTTGCAGCAGAAGCAGTTGCGATGGAAGATAAATTTATCTGCCCCGATTTTCTCCATTGGATATACTGGCTTGGAGCAAGCAGAGCACATCTCCCTCTTGGGTGAAAGAAACTACAATTCCAGAAAATATTCAATAAGATTTCACCTAGACATATAATTTTTTTCCACTATTTTTGTGGGAAAAAATAAAATAGTGAACTTGTGAACTGGGAAACAGTTTCATGTTTAAATCAGATTTTTATTGACTAATTAAACATAACTTGGATGCTGTTAGAAATGCAGCATTGAACACCTGGGAACATATAGATGACCTATTGCATCGTTTTGTAAGGGAGTTTGAATTTCATTATAAGTCACATGAATACCAACAAATTGCAGATTGTAATTCTGTGATGGCTGTACAATGTGGCTGCAGTGTAGCTGTTTTGTAACAATAAAGATCTTTATGATATTCATCTACAACCGAGTGTGTGCTATTTTAAAATCTGTTTTCCACTGACATACATTTGCAGTGATTCTAAGACAATCTCAAGATGTTTTTAATGTCTAGAAGTTGTGAACAGTCAACTCAAAAAACAAAAAACAAAACAAAACCTCATTTTATTATTAATGATTTATGAAAGTAATAAATTAGAACAACAGGCATTATAAATCCCAAAGGGGATACACAATGAAAGACACATATTGCCAGTTCCTCTATCATGTCACTGTTTCTGTGGTTGCAAAGGCCAAACAGGAATTGACCTCTAAAGGATGAAGGTGCCCTTAGACATTGTTCTTCCATAGATCCTGCTGAAGAATCCAGCTCCTCCATCAGCAGTATCTCCACCATTCTCCTTTGGGTGATTCCTATCTTTCTTTTCTCCTTCTCCTTCTGAAAGCACCGGCATTATTTCTTCTGCATTCTCTGCTTTCCTTTCTTTTTCACAGTCATTTCTTTCATCACACTTCACTTTGAAACAGCACCTCTCAATGGCCTACTTTCCTCTTCTTCTTTCCCATTTAACAACCTATTTCCTACCGAATCTGTCCAATACATCTTGCTTGACAAATGAGCTTCTGCAAGTGAAGAGATGCCTTGTAATGAATATTTCAGCCTCAGGTCTGTTTTTCCTTTGGATTTTAGCTTCTCACAGAGGAGTGGAAAGGTTGCAATAACACTTTGCTTCCCATTTATAAAATTCTGAAGAGCTCTGAAGTCAAAATTCATTTAATATCTTATTCTGTCTTCTTACAACATACACATTTCTTGTGTGAGGAACTGTTACTTTTACTGGGGATAACTGATTTTTTTTCTCCCAGTTCACTAATGAGGAAAATATTTTTAGTATTTTATTTACAAGTACCTGGTTACACAACTGTATTTGTGATCCTGATATTTTGTTGACTGTTTTGGTATGAATTGTACTCATTGAGGTGGTACTAGGTGCTTATGGTGTGATTAGGTTCTTGGTTTGTTAGATGTTGTGTGGCTCCTGTTCCAGAACTGCTTACATTTGTATCTGCACTTATGCCTTGTTGTTTCATCTGCTATTTGCCTCACTTGTTCATCACCTTGGACAAAAATGTCTGTTAAAATGCATGATTCATCATCTGGATGGGCCTCACAATTAACAAGTTTGAAGAAACTTCTGGGCCTTCAGGAGAGTTATTGGTGGTTGGTGTCCATCTCAGAGTCGTTCATTGTTTTCTAACAAGTGTCCTCCGTGCCACGTGAGCAGGGACTCTGCTAAGTCCTTCTGGCTTGGGTGGAAGAGCGGGTTTTTGTGTGGAAGGCTTTTGACAAACCTTGGGTGGGAGTGGAGTTGGACTCCGAGGGTTAGTTTTAGAAACAGATATATGAAGTGGATCCTTTGTGGTTTCTTCTGTTCTGTCATCTGCGGCAAGTAGTACATTAACTACTTTGGTGGTTGATTGTTCTTTCATAGTTGTTGCTGAAGGAAGTAAGCCCGTATGTACAGATTGTGCCTCTTTATCAGCATTGTCAAAAATAATGTTGCATTTACCTTCTCTGTAGGACAATCTCCCCCTCCTGTATATCATTGCAGCTTTGTAGTCACCTCTGGAAACATTCATGTTCGATTTCTCCAAAGACTGAAGAGCAGCCTGTAGACCACCTCTTATAATTTCTTTTTCTGCTTGTTGTTGTTGCTGTCCTGCAGCAGTCTGTAACGATGTTATGGCTTCTCTGACATCTCCTCTCAAATCAACTTCCGCTTCGGTCCGTTCTTTTGAATCTTGAACTTCTTGGCCTGACTTTGGCAGAGAATTTTGAACAGCAAGTATCGAGTGATCCTCGGTTGTGTCTACAACAGGAAGTTCACATTTTTGACCAGGCTGAAATACCTCATTGGTTTCCTGGTCCTTCTCAGAGGAATGACTGCTTTGATGTTCTGGTCCAGTCTGTTCTTTTGTGGGATACTCTAATGGTTGCCTCACTGTTGCCACACATGCGGACTCTTCTTTGTCTTTTGAGGTGACTTTTTGCCCTAGTTGCATGATTTCATGCTCTTCATCACTCTCCAGCTCAGCAGTCTCATTCTGCTGATTCATTTGTCTTAATTTGACATGTTTCAGCTTTGCCTGGACCTCACGCTGAATGCTCTTCGCTTCAGCCGTTGCCAGAAGGAGACTTCTCATGGCGGCTGCTAGTTCAGAGTTTTGTCTGTCCAATTCCTTCTCCTCTGCATTACCCCAGTTGTCCATCTCACCTTTCCTGTTTTCCTCATGGACATCTGCTGCTGAGTTACCTTCAATTTGCTCAGAAGGTGATGGTTCCTCTGTTGTGATACTTGAAGAGCTGAGTTTTCTTGAGATGACCACATCTGTGGAGGTATTCTGACATCTTGCTCTTTGATTTGTAAAGATTTTATTATCTGGCATGACCTTTTCCTTCACCTTAGGTTCTATATGTTGACTTGTCTCTTTACTTGAGCAGGAGGACTTGCTTACATCTCCAAGGTCACACAATGCGCCTGCAAAGATAACATTCTTTGTTATTGACACACTTGGCTCTGCTCTAGGATCCAGAGACTGCGGATCTGCATTACTTGGCACTACTTTCTCCCTATTTGCCAAAATTGCTTGGTCACTTCTCTGTGCAAGGCCAGGCTTATCAAAGGAGAAATTATCATTTTCTACTGAACTATGGTGACTGAAGACTACAGAGAATGGCAGGTTTCTGAGGTTCTTTGCATCCGAATGTGAAGGATCTTCGGCTGTTTGTTCCCATGCTTCTCTCTCTCGTTCTATTGGTTCTTTACATTCACAGTCCACTTCTGAAGAAGGATGAAAGTTTGTGAGGCACTCTGGATCAGCCTTTTCTGTTTGCATGGCAGTTGCCTTTTCTTCAGGTGTGAATACCAAAGGTCTGTGACCTTGAGAAACTCCTGAAGGATTGGTGACAGATGGGGTTTCCTTCTTTACGATACTTTCTTCACTTTCCATTTTCTTTTTGCAAATATTAAGTAAATAAACAGTCATCCCAACATGCTTCTGCTCTTGTTCCTGCATTAAAATTCCTTTTGTCAAAGCCTTAGCTTGACTTAGGAAGCCATCAATTATATAGTAATATATGGTTTTTAATTCATTATCCCATGTTTGTATAGATGGAATCTGTTGAGATCTTAATTCCAGATTGGTAACTTGGATACGTCCATGTTCATCCTGCTTTAGCAGAGCTATCCTGGAGCCCAACCTTTCCATATGCAGGAGGTGCTGCACAATATCCTGTATTCCTCCCTCAGCAGCTCCTGCTTTTTGAATGTGTGGCCCTTCATTATTTATGAGGTACTTGGCTATTTTCACACCCCCATGATCACTGTCTTCCAATACAATTCCAGGTGAATGAATAGCATTAAAGTGATAAAGATGCCTTACAGTGTCTCTGAGACTCTCCATCATAACATCTGATTCTGCCCAGTTTCTAAAAAAGATCCCATCAGCTGCTACTGATTCAAAAATCCAATGCAGCTCCTTTACATCTGAATTCATTTTCTCATCTTGAATCCTCCGGTTAGTCATGTCAACATCAGTTGTGTCAGAAACTTGTGTTCCAGAGAGCAAACTGAAATATTTTGCATCCATGTTCAGACTGTACTCACTGCATACTGTCTTTTCAGAGGTTTGGTTCTGAGCTGCTCCTTTGAGGGAGTCAAAAGGTTGATTTTTGAACAGTGAGAGGGAAGATCTGACGTCTCTCTGATCTACGCCTCTATTCATCATGCCGGAATTCCCTTCACAGCTTATCTGTTGCCACTCTAAGGGCTGATTTTTCATCTGCAAATTGTTTTTCTCAATATTTGTTACCATTTTCTGTTGCTTGTTAGTTCTATAATTCCCTGATGATGTATCAAGCCATATTGAGGATGTCACATCACTTTCCTCCTGGACCTCTTTGTTCTCAACATTAATATCTCCCTGGGATTTACTGTTTTTCAGTGGCTTCGGTTCAGACATGAGCTGACTCCCTCCCATATATCTACTCATAGTTTCCTCTCTGATGACCTCATCAAACTTTTGACTTTTCTCACTACATGTTGCTGAATCATGGCTGTCAGGTTGACCAAAGGAGGACGTGACATCTGTTGCATCCCTGGGGGACTCTGCCCTAGCTGATTGGTGTTCAGGATATTTGTCTTTGTCACAGGTATTTTCCAAAGATAAAGCTTCAGATGTAAATTCAGTGTTGCAAATACCCCCTTTTATGTCACTTATAATACTGGTATTTACTCTGCCTTTGTTTTTATCATTAATCATGTGAATTTTACCATTTTCCAGGTCATTTTCAAAATGTTCACCTCTACTGTGAGTTCTTGAATCATTTGAGATCCTTATTTTTTTTTTAACAATTAGCTTTGACTCAAACATGTCTTGTGCTTTAACATTATTATTATTAGGTAAGGTACTTCTTTGCATGGCTATCTCCCTTGTGATACTCTCTGAAGCCTCTGTTGAATGATTATGAACCATGTCCATTTCATTCTGAGAGATGTTGTCCATTGTTAAGCGAAGTTCACTGCCAGTGTTTTCTAACACGTGTGTCTGAAATTGCCATCTGCAGGTCTTGGCGCCATCTGTTTCAGACATTGACCTTGATATATTTGCCTCAAAGGGTTTTGCGTTAACATTATCACTGGCCACTGGAGGCAGATCTGCTGTTTTAACATTATCATTGTAATCATCTTCACTTGTTATACATATGACTTCCTCCTGTTGTTCTCGATGCTTAAATTTGTCCAGTGGAATTGTTTCAAACATCCATTTGTAGTTTTGAACGGTGCCATTTATTTCCACTGCTTGCCCTTTGCTTATTGACGTGACCTCATGGAAATTTCCTGAACGATCTCTAATAGCAAACAGCGGTATGTTCTCGAAAAATGCCATGTTATTTCTTACAGCACCACTTGCGACATCTTTAATTTCTGTGTGCTCTTTACTAAACTGAGATACACTGTTGAGGGAAAGGGCTTCAAAATGCTGCTTGTGAGATCTAACAGCAGATTTTTCTATCTCGCAGGGCTCAATTTTGGTTACTCCCACAACCATTTCTTTGTTGATGCTATCTAGTGCGCAAGTTTCAAATATATGCTTTATCTCCAGGACAGTTCCTGTTTTATCTTCCGGGATGTTTACTGTCTCAAGGTGGTTAACTTCATAGCTGTCTGCTGAAGTTTCCGTGGGATGAGTTTCAAGGAACCACAGCAAGGAATGACTGTCTTCCACAGCAATATCCTGCTTATCTAAAGTAACATTGATAGATTTTCTATTCAGTGACCCAACATCCATTTCCTCAATACAAAGGCATCTATTCTCCTGAGGACTGTTAAACGTGTCATTAGAGGTTTGTAATTCTTTTCTCTCGACATTACCTCTCTGGGTTTCTGCTAAGGATATCCCTGGAATTACCTGTACCTCATCTTTGTTCAAGATATCCAGATGCTGAGTCTCAAAGAGCCAGCGTGTCTTTTTGACAGTGCTGCTGGAGTTTCCGCCTCTACAGGCGGGCTTGATCTCATGGACGTTCACATCATCACTTTTGAGCGCACAGCAAGGCTCCATCTCTAACAGTCTAACAGTCTTCTTGACATCCGCTTTTGTCTCCTGAGTTGCTTGTTCAGGGTCATGGTGATGTTCAACCTTCACAGAAGTGCAGTGACCAGGTTCATCCAAAGGCTTGGCCTCGAATAGCTGGCATGTTCCTTTCACGTCTCCACAGCTGACAGACTCTGCCATCATGAGCTTGCTTCTATCAAAGGGTAATTTTTTGTGGAAGTCAAGTGATTGCATCTCAAACAACTCCGTGGTCTTCCGAGTATCTCCTTTGATGTCACTGCCTTCTGAACTTGCTGCTGTCGGGAAACATTCAGTGCCGCTGGGTTCAGCAAGATTAGCCACGTGAGAGCTGCATCTGACATCCATGTCACAAAGAGCCTTCTCCTCAAGCCATTTCCTGACCTCTTGCATATCACCTGTTTTCTCTAGTAGTGTCCAGTTCTCAAATATCCAGCGCAATATTTGTACCCCACCCTCATATTTAGAGACACTGACATTTTCCTCGCATTCTGAGGCTGTCTCCTTCATTAGCTCTCCATCTATGACATTGTCCACAGTCTTCAGGTCTGGGTGAATGTGTCGAGAAAGCCTCTTCAGCTCACATTTCTGTCTCTGCAGGGAAATCGGTTCCTTACGTAGAGTCACTTCAGGAAACGCCGGATTTTGATCATTTATCAAATTTAGGTGCTCTATTTGAGTTCTGATTGGTTCAGATGGGACATTGTTGGCATTCAGATGAACTCCGCTGGGTGCTTTGGAGTCCTCAATTTTTTGGCCGTTTTCCGACATCTTGTTTGGGAACAGAAGGGAAGCATTTATATTTGTAAATGTATTTTTCATTAGTGAATGATTTGACACATTTTCAGTTGTAAACGATGATGTTAGTTGTGATGTTAGTGAAGAGGTCATGCAGAATAGACGATGCCGTGTCTTCATGTGAGTACAGAATATAACATACGCATCACAGCAGATCATCCTCACTTGTATGCTGTGACCCTCAAACAGTAATTTAACTCAGTTTCATTCATGATATTAATTGTTTGGGAATCCACAAAGAAACTTGTCCATGGTTTCTCTGGTTTCAGGACAAAATGCACTTTCCTGGTCTCTTTTCTGGTTCCCTAGTACCAAACATGCGTCATCTTCTCTTTCCTGGTCTCCCATCCCACGAGATCATAGTCCCAATAAAAAGGCAAAGTATTAATGATCAACTGTTCACTGGGAATTTTACACAAGTGGCGATGGTCCACATGAAGGAACTTAAATTTCTCATTTCAAGGACAGAAATAGTTGTGTTTCTCCTGTATGTTGAAGCAGCATACCAGCTGTGCTAATATCAATTATACGTATTGTTTGATACAATAATAAATGTATTGAATCCTTTTTCCTCTGACTGTTCACTGAGAACCATGTAATGTACCATGATAGTGAATAGTTCATTTCAGTTTTACATGCAATAAATACACATAAATATGTCTAATCCAAAAGTGTATTAAAATTATGTAGAAGTCCTTCACTATTTCTTCAAAAATCACTCCAAAACTATGTAAAAACAATAGGAATTCTGCCGTTTCAGAATTCCTATATAATATGCATAAGTGCATTACAGCATATTGTATTTCACATGCATCTTTTGAAAATAAAATACACCCCCACTGTGGTTCATGGTTAGTTGACAAATGGACACATAATACATGATCTTGGGACAAGGACCTTTATCTTACCTTTTTCAAGTTTATTCTGTTTCCTGAGGCAGCCGTGTTTTTTTCAACCACACTAACCTAGTGAAGGGGGAAAAAAGCTTTTATTAAATCCTTTATGAAACATTCACAATCCAATAATATGGTGTTTTGTGTAATTGAGACGACCCTTTATACTTAATTGTTCAAGAATTTCTGACTAATCATTTATGGACAAAAAGCAATGAGACCATTAATATATCAGCTGGAAAAAAATAAAACTCCTAAGTCTCACTGTATTTCTCCTCGTTTAATAGAATCTGAGAATATATTAAGCCATTAGTGGGTTTAATTCAATTTGATTAGCAAGGTGCAAATTAACAGCTCTCTGGAGCGTAACTGAATAAGAGCAAGCTTAGAAAGAAACACATGGGCGGGGCTGGGGGGGTTAGAATCTACTGAGGTTTCAGAATATCATGAGTATTGCTGTTCTTTAATACAAAATAATACATAACCCTTCCCACAGTGTAGTGACTGTTGCTGGTCAAGAGGGGGCCCCAAACCTCAGGGGGCCATGCAAATTCATGGTTTGAGTGGTGATAAACCCCACCACAGTCTGCTAGTCAGATGCACGTGTTGGTTTATTTTCACATTGAGCTATTTATGGGGGAAAAAAACACTGCATATGATTTTGGAGATTGGACAAATTAAGCTTTCTTTAGTGCTTTAACCTTTCCAGGGGTGCCGGCAGTGACTCGCCTCTCCGGTGGTGTTTTTCCGAGAGTTTGCCGCTGCCACTCTCGACAAATAGAGCGCAGAAATGTTTTTCACAGAAACGGACTTCTTTAGCTCCTCAGTGGAGGGAATTTCTCTGAGGTCGATCAGGGATCTCCACTTGCCATCTGCAACGAAACAGAGAGGTGTGATAAAGTACGGTTTTTAAAGTTAACAGAAAGGGTGCTGGAAGAAATGGTGATGATTTATAAGGGGCTCACAATCAAATCAGTTTGGGTTCTTAGGATTCTTGAACATTATTCGGCATCAACCAATCAAGGCTTTATTTGTCACATACACAGTAAGGCTGAGTTATACTTCGCCATTGTATTGACACCGTAAGCACTGTATGCCATAGCCCAAGACCCTCCGCTGTAACCTACACCATAGCCTACATGCATCTCCCCAGAAATGTAACTATATGTCACAGCGAGGCAAACCGCAAGAACTGTTATTGGTCCACTTGGTAACATTTGGTTTTTTTTTTTTATGGGAGCAAAGAAAGCGTATATCCCAGGTTTACTTATATCGCTGATTGAAATTGAAGCGCTATTTACAGTATATCTAGCATAACCCACCATATGCATCGTATCAACAGGTCTACAAAATGCTAAGAATGACAGCAGCAATTTCATTTACCTCCATTAGGTTTATATGTACTTCACAAGACTAAAAAGTAGAATAGACTTTAGAAGGGATAAAACAGAAAAAGTGACTTTGTAGTGGCAAGAAATTTTTCCAAATTTGTCTATGGGAAGTTTGGGACAACACAAATATAACCAGGACTCAATAAATGGATGATAAATGGATATTTTGTTAAATGTTTGTGTTTTTTCAGTTTCAATTGAGTGATCCAATGGTTGAATATATCGCAGGGTGGGAAGACAGTAAATATGACATCCAAAACCTATCACCTAATGTTTTGGCGGTGTAATTGCTAAGCAACACAGACACACCAGCACACAAGTATAAATGCCTGCAGCGTCGGCCACTCGTGTAGGTCACAGCGTTGGCTCGACCCACAGTATAAAACTGCATAAAGCCTTAATAGGCCTACTACTGTAAGTAAAATGTGCAGTGAAATTTTAGGTTGACTGGCTTCAAGACAGTGAAACAGGGGACAAAAAGTACAGACTAAATGCTAAACAATAAACATTATACAATAATCAGAAATATCCATAAATAGTGTGCAATTTTCAGTAAAGTGACAGGCGGTAGTGGAGTTAACCGAATACCACCTGTCACTTTACTGCAAATCTGTGGAAACATTATTCTAAGGAACTTCCATGTTATTTATACCTCGCAGTTTTTCTCCCCCCTAATTTCCAGTATTACTTTAAAGTTGAATAAAGCTCCGATTTGGGAAACAAGCACATTCTCAGTGTATTGGAGCTGCAGTTGTAGATGCCAAACAAGACTGTCTGGCAGCTGGTTTTGTATCAGGATAAGGCTCTGCTCCAGTTAAATCCCTATGACAGGTAAATTACCTTGCAACAGGAAGGCCGGGAGAAATGTAAAACTCGAAACTACCGGATGTGCGGTACGGGGCCAAAATCTCAGGCTGCCAGAAACAGTGATGCTTAAATTATTTTTATATTGGTGTAAAACTGATTTTATGTCTGTTTCAGTCTGTCTTCTCAACTGGCCCTAGTATTTGTGGCTAGCTAAGTTAAGCTCATGTATTAAATGAGCTGGTGGTGATTTAACAAATACATGGAATGTTGGAATTCTTCTAGCTATTCATAAAGAAATTTTTGTAAATTTTTAAATCCATTACTGTTCATGTGTGTGCATTCTAATGTTAATTTGTGCTTTTTTGAACAAATATACACATACTGCCCACCCCCCAACACACACACACATACACAATTTTATATATTTAAGAGCCCCTGTCAAGTGCTGGACCCCCTGAATCTAGCCCCAATTGCCCCCCCTCCCCCCACTACCATGAAGTCTTGTCTCTCCCCTGCATCATTCGACAGTTGTCACCATTTTTCATCACTTTTTTTCATTATTTATAACCACTTAATAGCTGGGATTCATTAAAAGAAACGTTCAATTTAATTCATTTTAATGTTTCATAGCAATTTAGTTTCAATCAACTCGGCTGACTAAGTCAACGCTTAACGGGTTCTTAATGAACCCTTCGGAAATTAGTCAACTTGTTTAGTATTCTGCTGCGTATGGAATGTGCAATGCAACACCCTACCATGCAAAACTATTCCAGCTCAGAACGTATGAAAATAAACCTCTGATGAAAGACGATCCATCTGATGCTGTGGAATGAGAGATTGCTGTTACCAGCTGAGCTATGTAAAGGGCTTTGCACAGCGACAACTGCACGTATGAATGATCTCCACAGCTGGAGCTCAGATCCTCAGCTGCCAGAGATGCTGGCTCCTTTACTGTTACTCAAAACTAGATTGGTTCTTATTTCGACTCATTTTAAAATGTATCTAACTTTTGATGTCACCTTTAAATGCAAATAATAATGCTAAAAAGCAGAGTAGTCAGAGAAATCAATAAAATGAATCTTTATAAGTTAATAAACTTAATTATTAATAATAATAATAATTATTATTATTATTATAATACATGATTATTAAAGTGGGGGTGACATGGTGGCCTCATACCGCTGGGACCTGGGTTCAAGTCTCTGCCTGGGTTACATGTGTGTGGAGTTTGCATGTTCTCCCCGTGTCATCATGGGGTTTCCTCCGGGTACTCCAGTTTCCCAAGATATCCAAAGATATGCTGGGGCTGATTGGAATTAATAAATTGTGCATGTGTGAGTGTCCCCTGTGATGGGATGGCCCCCCATCCAGGGTCTAGCTAGCTTCCAGGATAGGCTCCAGACCCCCCCACATCCCAGTAGGAAAAGCAGGTTGGACAATGGATGGATGGTTATTAAAGTTAATCTTAATCATAAATACAGTGTAAAATATAGCTATGTGAATTCTTCAGCTGTAATAATAATAGTAATACTATTACTATCTAATGACTATTATGATCCACCCATATTCAAACTGCTTTTCTGTTTTTTTGTCATTATTGTTGTCGTCGTGATTTTGTATGTGTGCCCTGTGATGGACTGGCATCCCATGTAACACATGCCCTGTCTCTTGGCTGTGTCTAAAGTCCAAGATCATCATGACCCTCGATCACATGAACAGTCCTGGAAGCTGGACGGATGAAGCTTTACGCTGACTGTAATGTTTACTACTACAGCTGTGTGCCAGCGCCGTGACTCCTGAATGGGGTAACACAAGTCCACAGGGCAGAGAAGTCATACCACCACAGGAAGGCTGACATGCGACCTGTCTCCATAAACATGCCAGCGGAATTATAAGAATAAACTAAGAATAATAATAATAACGTATCTGAAAATCACCCTTTAGCTTTTGTGAAGAAAGCAGAATTTAATAAATGTATTCGGCAAACTATTTTTCATTGTTAATAGTAAATCAATTTTTTTCAATTTTTAAAATTATATATTATATTAAATGTAATTATATATGTATATATAACTACATTAAATGTGTGTACATGCATTTGCAATTGCTGTAATAACAATAAAATTTATGACTATACATTTTCAAAAATATCCTTGTCTAAAGTGACATTACATGCTGAATTATTAAAAATACCGATTTATATGGGATGTAAGTTTCTATCAGTATTCTTCATGCCAGAACGCATCATGCTCTGGTCTGTGAAGCATCACGGTCGACTTCAGCAGGACTTCCCCATAAATCCTCTGGCCGAATCCAGCTTCCTGTCTCAGTCATATGTCACATTATAATCTGTAACATTACATACTCACAGAAAGCAAAGACTTCTGGCACTTGTTCTCTAGAATGTCCGCTTGACCTCCTTGCAAAATTGGACTAGATTCCTTCAGTTCCTGGTCGGTTTCTGTAGAGAAATCTCACCGGCTGACACAGCCATGCAGTCTAGTTCCGATTCTCTGCCTTTCTACAGTGACAACTCATCCTGCGGTGCGACTGTTGATTTTTACTTTAAAAAGCCACTCAAATGAGACATACCGGCTGTTCGGACAGGACTGTCTCTGATCGCAAAGTGAGCCACTGGGATTTGGGAACTCCCCTTCCTCTAAATAGCAACATTAGCCTCTTAGTGATGTCATGATGGGTCAAAAGGCTTGGCTCAAGTTCAGCCAGATTGGCTCCGTACACGATACTGTCGATTTCCGCGTCTGCACTCTTATGGACATTACGGACATTTACATTGTATGACATCATTTTAAACAGGTAGATTATCTTCCCTTATCCACGCAGTATCTATCATAGCATTATGCTCATTTTTAGCATTTTGTATGAAGAATGGCTTTAATATTACATTCATTTATCTCTGCTTGTATTTTACGACCCTGTTAAAGTGGGCAAAATGGCTCCCTGTGAGAATATTTGTCTCTCCATTTCTTTATGATTTCTCTCATCCTCAATCTTCTCCCAAACTCCAAGTAATGAGCAGCTCAGAGAGCTGAAGAGCTTCTCCAATGGACTGATTTAGAGACATCAATAACAAAAAAGCATTATGTCATTCTCAAGAATGACCAGGTTCAAGTGGATTATAAAATGATACTTTGAGGGAGCATGATACTTTCAAAGGCGAAGCTTTAATCTTCATAAAGTTTTCAATCATATTTAAAATCCATTATATTATATTATATTGTTCATTCATTCAGTCATTCATTCATTTTCCATAGTCGCATATCTGATGCAGGGTCCTGGGGGGTCCGGAGCCCATCCTAGAAACCATGGAGGCACCCGGGATGGGGCGTCTGCCCAATGCATGGTACATTTAGTGTATTCAATTTTTTTATTGTATTATACTACATTGTATATACTTTTTGTATGCATATATGTAGCATGTTCGTTCGTATGATCGCATAGGGATTTTCAGTAAACAGATCATCTGACGATAGGTATCTCCAACACTCCTGCCAACCTGATCCCTTGAGGATGCAATCAGTCAGTTTTGTCTCAGACCCAGGTCAGGTCAGTAGGGAATGGAGAAGAAAGAAAATCTCATTGATCAACTGGTGTCCAGGGGACATGTGCCACTGTCAGGGACATGAGGGCGATTTTTTCCAAACCAAACCAATTGTTGGTACCGTTAGCTAAGAAATAGCTGCCTTATTGAAGGGTAGCTAGCCTTTAAATAAGCATTTAGCTTCTGTGAGATTGCTACAATGGCATGGCTAGCAAAACACTCACCCAGCTCATCCTTCTCTTTCTTTGCAAGATCTACTCCACTGTCTGTCTTCCTTCTCTCTGAGGAAATGTCTTTCATCTCCTGTAAGACAAAGAGTCATGGCCCAGAATGACATCACCTTTCTGTTTAATGCTTTTACATTAAATATCTCCAAGTGGTAGTATCTCTTTTGTACAAGAATAGTACAAACAATCTTTTTTCCGTGATGGGCTATATCTAGGACAGTATGTAATATGTTAACCTTGTTTACCTTCTCACTGGACCCATCCTCATTGGCTGTAGTGTTAAGAGTATTTTGGCTCTCAAGTTTTGTTTTCAGGGGTGCTGTTTCCATGTGTTTGGTGACAGTCTTGGTCATTGTGCTCTTGATGATGATCTTCTTGTTCTTGCTGTTCACCGGCTGCTTCTGCGGCTCCTTCTTTAACTCGAAGAGGGCTCTGAGAGTGTTGATCCCAGTGACCTCGGTCTGTGGAATGTGCCCCAGCGATCGGCTGCGAGAGAGATTGGAGCCCTTTGTCGGCGCTTGGGCCTTGGTCTTTGTCAGGATTGAGTCCAGTCTGCTCTCCGGTTCATGTTTCGGACCCGAAACCTGCAATGTCCAGAGATGTGACAGACAGTCATGCAGTGTGGAAAATGAAAGTGGAAGCTAGTGTCACACACTGTCACCACTAGGGTGACCACCTAATCCATGTCAGGAGGGACACTATGAGCTACAACAGGATTTGTAAACTACCATTTCATACATTTCAATTAAAAGGACCAGGATTTCACTTAAGTACTGGGTTCTTGCCGTATGCTGATTGGTCAGTCTCCTATAATCATGCATATGTGTCAGTAATGTTAATGCGAAACAGCTGGATGAGTCTTTCAATCTAGGAACTAACCAAACAGAGCACAGAGCACAGAACCCTTTCAGCTTTAAAGTAGTTCGTAAAAGCTGAAGTAGCTCATAGTGTCCCTCCTGACATGGATTAGGTGGTCACTCTAGTCACCACGCTCTTGGAGAAGTCACATAGGAGAAGCTGTGTAGCCATAATTGAGTTGGAATCATACTTTGTACAGCTTGCCAGGATGAAGAGCTTAACTAATTAGCTTAACTAGCTATGATGAAGAGCTTAACTAATTTCATTAGTCTAGCTAGCTATGATAAAGAACTAAACTAATTTAGTTTTAAATGATACAGTGGTACCTTAGAACTCAAATTTAATCCCCCCGCGGGTACAAGTTATCTTAGGTCAGCGTTCACGGTTTGACTTCTGAGATTCAGATCGAGCTCTAGGTAATTTTTTTCGAACTGGTTGGTTCGACTTCTAAGAAATTCAAGTTCTAATGAGTTCGAGAACTGAGGTACCACTGTATTTGAATTTATTTGCTTGTCCTATTCAGGGTCGCGGAGAGTCCAGAGCCTTCCCCAGAGGCTACTGGTGCAAGGCAGAAAATGAGCCAGGACGGGGCGCCAACCCATCACAGGGCACACTCACACCCATTCACTCACACATGCACTTATTCAAGTATAAGTGGGTGGTTAAAAGTTGCTATAATTATTATTTCAGCTATGGAATTGCTTAAAAAAATAATAATAATAAATATGTATTTAAGGAATGCATAGTATGCCACTAAAACCTTTTTGTTAGCTTCCACTGCTTCTGTGGACTGCAGAACTCCTGCGATTTGATACCTTTTAAAACAAAAATGTGGTTTAGGAACAATAAGACACATTTTCGTAACTGCAAGAGAGATTAAGGGACTCCCCAATGTATCTTTGATAACAAGAAGGTCTCCCTGTCCATTCAGATGCTCACTGGGCCACGAGCTGAGAGACAGACTTCTTCCTCTCCAGAACCACCTCGTCAGCCCAGGACTTGACAAGCCCTGGGGAGGAGATGCTTCTCATGGACTTGGTCTTCCGCAAGATGCCCTTTACTTCCATCTCAGGTCTCCTCTGATCAAAACCCTGGATGAAAAACCTCCCTTGATGGGACATACAAAAGGGGAGAATAGTGAAATTTCCCACTTGAAGAGCATTTTTTTTGTCTTTGAGATGAGTTTGCCAGTGACATAAAGTCAGGCTCCCTCCTCATATGTTACAGTACTGGGAACCTACACTCGCCTCATATAATCCAACAAAGAACACCAGTGAAATTTCCAAAACTGCCTAACTAACCACAGAATTTTTTTCAAATACATATCGAGTGAGTTTTGGAAATTTGCTTTTTGTTCAGTTGTTTATTTATTGCAAAACATCATCTGACTGTACATGCTTCATAACACATATATTTGAAATTCTAATTTAAGGTGTATAGAACATTTTAAAACCTTGGTAAAACTGTATTATTATCATCACATTTTCATTTTTAAAACATATTATAAAATTTCAAATGCATTGCAACTCACCTTTCTGATTCTCTCTCCATGAATAGCTAATTTTAAAATCAGCTTGTCTTTATTTGCATTTGTTTCCTTGACGATAAGCACCTGTTCATGTTTTAACTGAAGTGATATTGCTCTGGGGTGCTCATCTTTTCTAGAGTGCTACCTCAGAAGTACCTCAAATTATGTTTTTCTTACTTTTATTTTCATTCCTTTTAATTTTTACAAATAATATTTTTAATCAGCCCTCTATCTTTCTTTAAAAATGTATTGCATTGTTACACTTAACAGGATTTGCACATCCTGAAAACCATTTCTAGTGCACTATTATGGTTGGTTTTAATTGGTTTAATCTTTAACTTCAGCCTATCTGAATAATGATTAGCATGTCTACCTGCTTGTGGGAGTTTTACTTACACAAAAATGTTCTGAGGGCAGAAGGAAAAATGATTGGTTCAGAGAGATAACCAATCAGATTGTAGAGGAGGTAGGTCCAAGCAACTAAAGGAGGTGGGGCCAAGACTATCTCTCTCAACGAATCATTTTTCTGTCTGCCCTTACATTTTTGAATAGTAACCCTCCCATGAGCTGTAGTTATGTAGTTTATGACTTGTGTCCACTCATGGACACCTTCCTCAATGAGTTTAATTTGTCATTTAATCAAAATAATAATAGACAAATTTCCAGCCTTTTCACTACAAAACAAAAAAATAATAATAACTGGCTCAAAGCTGAAAATTGCTACCTGAGGTCACAGTGCTGGGGAGCAAAGAATAATTCAAACGATATCCGAAGTGTCACAACTTCAGAAGGTTGTTGTTTTGGTTGACTGTTTAATTGTAATAAATGAACCGAGTGTTATTAGTTATTTCTGATAGCCAGTGTTAAGCATACAGCCCTATCTGTGCCCATCCTGTTGCAGCGTTTACTGAGATAAGCTGCTGTTTAACTAGGTGTATGTTTCCCTGTCACAGTACTACCCCGTGACGTTCAAGTGCTGCCAGAAATGATAATGTTTCCTTGCACCATTTGGTCACATATAGCTTTTTGGATTGTCATACTGATTCCCACAATGAAAAATCATGAACAATTTCTAATAATGTTTGCACAAAATCTAGTAAATTTTGCCCATGAATAAAACATTGTGACAGCTTAGATTTTTAAACATTTTTATAAACATTATTTTTTATATTTTTTACATAAAAAAATATTTTATTAAAGCCACTTCAATGAATGAACTATCATTTTTAAAGCCATCATATTAACTATAGTCTGCATATTCACAGGAGGACCATTGCATTATAGCTAAAAGTTTGAGTCTTTGATCATTTTCCTACAGAGAAAAAGAGATGCTGAATTTTAAGCGCCTTGCGACAGCAGCATTGAACCTTTTCAGTGGAGAAAATAAATAATTAAATGAAATAAAGAAAATGAACGAAATACCTCGGTGTAGTCCGGCTCCTTGCACCACCCGCCGTGATCCGAAGAAATGCAACACCCAGCTTATGGAAGCTGCCGGAGGCCCCACAATTGACAGTGGGCAAAGTTCTCACTTTATGGTTTCCCAGGCCTATAAGGAAGCTGCAGGTGGCGGCGGATCTACAGCTGCTGACCGTCTCTGTATCTAAACCATCATGTTCATGACAGCAATTTAACTTGCCGCCGCGATTCCCGTTTGAGAGAATCAAGCTTCTCCACTGGCACTCCCCATCCACGACATGTCGCCTAATGAGTTGACTGGCACTTACAAGCTGCAGGAAGTGGCCGATTCAACGGAATGTTGCTGGTGAGATGTTTCTGGAATGAGCTGGAATTGAACTCTTCTGCGCAACAGATTTGGAAAATACCTTCATCTCTGTGTGGAGCTGTAGTTGTTTTCATTAGAAGGTTCTGTGTGGTCAGATGGGTCTTTGGGAGATGGACAGCCGTGTTGTTTAGCACCACTCAAAACCCTGCATTTGCAGGGGCCCCGTGTTGGTTACAAAGTCACTCATTGGGGGAGGGGGGGCAAGTGACTTTTTGAGTGGGGACCCAGAAACAACAATCCCTCCCCAGGAGATCGGTGACTTTAACATACATGGCTGCTGAAAATATGTGTGTGGCAGATGCTCGGTGATGATAAATTGTCTGGCAGGTCTGGAATGGCTTAAGGCTTCAGCATGATCTCCTGAAATACCAGGACATCTACTGGACATCTACAGGAGCACTAACTAGGGGTTTCTGACTCCTCACGTCTGGAGCTACAAGGTGTATTGCATGTTTTCCTCAGATCCTTGCTGCTTATTGAATATCGTGATTACACTGTAATTCGATTTCTCTGGTGTTATCAGAGTCACGTAGGTGGTTATGATCATAAATACTGTGGTGCAGCAGTCCTAGGCTGGAAATGACATCTTGTGGAATAAAATATGATTTGACGTGTATCACTTTGAAGAGAGTTTAGTATCCTGCAGTTCGAGAAGGTATTAAATTCTGGCTGTTTTTCTAATATGTTTCTCAGGTTGTTTTTGTAATGCAATGACAGTGTTAGGAAAACAAGTGGAAACGTATTCACCCCACAGCGAGAGAGGCCAGGACGGTGGATATCGGGTCTAGGGTTTCATTATAGTTACTTTAATGTTCTTCCAAAACTCAATGGAAGGTTTATAGCATATCATAAAATGATCTTTCAAGGTGATACATAAGAAAGAAAATTGATTTTTATAAATGAACAAGGTTTGCCGTGTTCCTCTCTTTTTGGAATATAGATTTAGCTGACCTTCTGCATCACGATGTATATGGCCATTAAAACTAGCTTTCTTTTAATGACCTTTTTATTATGTTTCTTTCGTATGCATATCAGAGTGAGTTTCCTTAGGTTTATACTTTATTTCTTGTCATGCCGTCCTGGTCGTGTTATATCTGTTTTTCAGACCAATATAAAATTGGGTCTCTTCATTTGACCAGGCATCCATTATTATTGCTTTTACTTTTTAAACCTTGTTTATTGCTGTTTTTAAGACATATGGTGTATTCTGTTTCAGAGGCAGTCTATTTACATAACCAAATAGAAAAAGAAAGCGTTTTGAGTCCCACACTAAAGTACCAAAAAAAAAAGTATTTCAATTGGTCTGGCACTTCGGGTACTGTATCTCGCACTGAAATGAAAGGAACCAAAAGTACGGTACAGACTGGTGCAGTGCCCAGAGATATCAGTATGTGCATGGTAGCCTGTGCACCGCCACGGAGTGACATCCTACGCAGGGTGTCTCCTACCTCATGCCCTCTAGCCGCCTGGGGTAGATGAAATACATAATCGCTGTATAAAGGTTAAAATGCACGGTAATTTCTTGTCATAACAACGCACAGGTAATCATTTGCGCTGTTAGGACAAGGAAATTGCAGCGTGTATCATACGGCGAATGGTTATAACTCCAGCTCCTTTAATAGCCGTTTATCACTCTGCGGGTTAGTCATTTTATCCCTAGAAATGTAAGGCGAAAGAGGGAAAGGCGTTAATTTAGAGGTGTTTCGTTTGTGAAAAATTCTTTAAGTTGCGCAATTAACGGTTTAAGAGACAGATATAAAGTAGACAGGCATTAAACAGATGAATGTTTTATTTTAACAATAGGCCTAGTTTGACTAGAATGTTATCAATTAAACTTATTTTTAACACAAATAAAAGAAGACGTGCACAGCTAAAGCACCAGTCAGTGTTCGTGTCACGATGTAGTGTCTTTTTAAATATCAAGAAATTCCTCCAAAGTTTCCCGGCCTATACCCAGAGCTTCCTGGCAGTCTCCGTGCGCCCCCTAGTCCTGTGCAAGCGGTCGCAAAGTGGATGAGTATAATTTTTTTAAATTTAACAATATCACCCCCTAGTGGGTCTGCCGTTTTTGTCACTGTTTTGCATTCTTAAACGAAACATAAAAAACTAAATCTATACTGAATACAAAGCAATGGTCTAATCAAAATCATTTTGCATAACTCTTTGTTTGAGGATGCATATACGATTATTGAAATTGTTACATTTATATGTATTCAATTCATAATGCTATATATGTGCTTCCATATTTTATACCTTTATTTATACAATACAGAATAACATGAGAATAAATAAAGTCTGCTAAGCAGCCGGAGGTTGTCAATGGCACTAGCTTTAAATGAGTATAGAATGGGAGACGTCACACTGTGACAAAAACAGGCTAGCAGCACTAGCGCATGCTTTCAGCAGCATGCAGCCAGAGAAACGCGCACAGGCTGATTGAGGATGACTAGGCCATGTTGCAATCATGCGAAAGCTTTGGCAGGAGCCTAAGGAAACAGTCTCCCTGTCGACTAAACCTCATTTATATACAATCCGTGGCAGGCATTTATGGAAGAAAGAAATACTGTCTAGAAAGTTTCCTTGTCCTGGCCTTATCCCGACCCCCCCGAAATTGTTCCTGGGTTCCTCAAACTACTGAGAAGATAAAAGGAATGTGTAATGAGTGACCTTTGACCCCAGGCTTGGCTGTCTGAGTGCAGGATCCCGTCCCTACAACTGAAGCGATTATAGGCTTAGAGGTATGTGTGAAAGGGAGTGAGAGTAAGGGGGGGGGGGGGGGTCTCCTGAAAGGAATGTACTGAAGGGCACCAGAGGTAAGCTGACTTTGGGAGGAGGGGGGGGCTTGGGGGTTGGATTGTGCTGCGGGGTGGCAGTTGTCTCTCCCCCCTCGGCCGATCCTGGAGGCGTACCACACCTGCTGTTTGTCTGTCTCTTTAATTAGGCCTAACTCAATGGCTTGCTTGAAATTAACAATTTCATCAAAACCATAACCATGATAATCTGGGCCAGTTAGCTGAAGACCCACAAGTTGCTACGGCTCTGGCATCTGCATCCCATGGCCGAAGTCGTCCTTTTTTTTTGTGAAATGTTGTGCGTTTGTTTTCCATCATGGCTTTTCTGCTGCTGTGACATCATAGGGGGTCTCGCAGATCTGGTACCACTTCATTACTTTTGGGGTAGACACAGCTCATTCCAAAGGGAGTGAATAAGATCACACCCAGTCTGGATACATTGAATATGCAGGAACATACTTTAAGTTTCATTGTCTACGTAATTTTTACAGCCCCTCCTCTTGCGAGTGATATTCTGGTGTACCTTCCTTCATACTCAAACATGATACTAAATGGTTGTTGGTTCGACTTTTATGTGGGACTTGCTGCTCATTGCAGGAATCACTGGAATTCTGTAAAGGATAGCGAGAGATGGAGCCAGGATTCCGGCAAGTGGGAGCCAGTCGAGGGCAGTTCACATACTGGAGTGTCGGGGGTATTTTTACCCCGGTGGCTCGATGCCCGGTACGGATCTCGCCTCCCCGCATCTTCCGGAGATGCCGTGGTCTCTCCTAGCTGTGGGTTTGCCCGCTGGCCCACCCGCCCCCGCGCTGGTGTCTGCGATGTCTCAGCACGCACCCCCAAAGCCCACACACGTTGCGCTCATAACCAGCCGCCTCTGTGCCTCTGCTTAAACATCTAATGAGAAAACCCACACTTTGGTTTTGCTGCCTCAGATTATAATTAGAAATTATTTAAGTAATTACTGATCATAGATCACTTATTACCAGCACAAATACAACTGAAATTGAATATTTCTATAATTTAATCACTAAATCAAAACAATAATTACCCTTCACCGCATTACTGTGTGGTTGTATTATCAATATTTATGAGCATATTGTTGGTTCTTTGATCCAATACTTATGGTTTTATTTAATTATGTTTGTTTGCTGTTTGTTGATCTAAGAGGGTGTTTGATCATTGTCAAGATGTCAACACTGAGCAATACAAACACCGGGGCTCGTCTGATGCTTTGTTCAGCATTGCAGTTTTTTTCAAGTGTACTTTTCCGTGCTGTTTTTTTGTGCCGAGTGCGACAGCAGTCATTGACCAGCAGGGGGCACCTATTTCCCACCTACCGATGCTGCAATACAGTCTTCTTCAGACTGTGTGGTGCCCATAGAGATGGTATTTCCATTAGGTCAGATCTGATCTCAGCCCTGTGTAGAATCTGTTTTTGGAAGATTAAAATGCCTAATAATTCACACAGTGGCTCAGCGATCGTGCCTGTAGCCTCACATCAGGGTCTGGGGGCTACATTCCGTTTCCTAGCTCTGTGCTCTCTCTGTCTGTACAGGCGTCTCTCCCTGTGTTTGTGTCCAGTTTCCCTGGGTACTTTGGTTTCCTCTTACAGGGCAAAAACATATTTTCAGTGGTCTAAATATTCCAGTGTGTGTGTTGGGGGGGGGGGGGGGGGGGGTGATAAAAACCTGTTATTTTGGTATTGTGGGAGACTTACTTTTATAAAACTGTGTGACTACTATAAAACAACTAAAAATGTTTTATATGTTTTGTTAAGGTTAGGGCTGGGTAGGGCTTAGGGTTGTCATTGCTGGGATTAGGGTTTTCCCCATAGAAATTAATGGAGAGTCCCCACAAAATATGAATGTGTGTGTGTGTGTGTGTGTGTGAGACATGCTTGTCCTGTGAAGCACTGGCATGCCATCCAGGGCGCCCCCTGCTGTAG